GCAGCTATCCTACTGCAGGCACTCTCTGTGAAAGGGTTGTTAGCTGTAACTGAGCCGTTGTAGTTGATGATTCTGTGTTGGGGAGATTTGTTGCAATCCTCTTTATGTCCGTCATGCTGTGTTCTCCCTATATTTCTCTACCACCGCTGTGCACTTACAGGGGTTGGCTTCACACAGAGCAGGCCCTAAGAACTAAAGCGTGCAAGTGTGACAGTTCATCTGGTAACACCAAAGATGTGATCAGTGGCACCTATTTGTATCAGGAATAACTACTGAAGTAGTTGGGGGGTAAGTCTCATTTCCTGTGCCTCCTTGGTGCACCCAGGCTCCCCTCCTACTCCTGCTGTCCCCTTTGGTTGCTAGAAGGTCACAGGAAGATGTGACAGAGGACAGTTAGATCTGGAGGAGTGTTTGCATTGCCTTCCTTTGTGTCTGTACTCCAGCAGGAAGCTGTAAGGCTGGAATGCCCAACTCTGGATTAGAAGCTGTCAGGAGCAGAGTACCAAGAAACATTTCAGCTGTTAAATCTGGAACAGACTCAGTGGAAATCATAGAAAGAAGCAGCAACATTTTAGGCCTTGGAAGGCTTAGGTCCAGATTTAAAGGCATGTCTCAGCTGGCACTTTGAAGGCAGCATTAGTTACACAGTTATGCTGGGATTTGCCTCCCACCTCTAGTTTTATTTATGTAAAATTGTGGAAACGTGCTGGTGCATCCCATTTATATGCAGTTTCTCTGTGAATTCATCATGTTAGCCTTTATGGGTTAGGTGGTTGTGTAAAATGTTAGATGCAGGGAAAAGGTCAGTATTTCTGCTTTCCTCACTCAAATGCAATGATCTTCAATACGTGTGCAGAGGGCATTTGGCTGAAGGATGACTCACAGGCATGGACTGGCAGAAGTCATGCTGGTAATGCAAGGAATATATGCAGATTGCCACATTGCTGTGACAGGAGCATGAGCTCAGAGACAGCTTTCTCCTGCAGTAGATATCACTGACCTGTGTGATCAACCTTTGCCAAGACACTGCTCTGAATGCAGAAGCTCAGGTACAGATTTACCTGGAGGACTCTGCCTCCTCCCCCATGCTGCAGCGTGCCTGTTGTGGCACACGGAGGTGCCTTGGCTCCATCCTGTAGCTGAGTCTTGCAATGGTGCTGTTCCTTGTGCATCCTGGTGCGTTTTACAAAGACTGAGAGATGAAGTGCTGCTCCCTGTAGGGTAAGTGATGTAGCAGCCACTGTTCACATGGAGAGACTAAAGTGAGCTGTGGGTGATGCAGGAGTTAGGAGCAGGCTTCCCTTTCCAGTCATCCAGCGTTTTATCTTGCCCTTACTTCTTCACACCAAATTATTTCCACTCTGTGACATGAAGGTGATAGCACTGCAAACTGCTTTGACATTTGCAGAGCACAAGCGGAACAATTCATCTGATAACACTTAACAGATGCCTGCTTAAGGAAGTTGGAGAAGGTGCCCTTAGGCACTGAGCAGCCTGCAGAAGGGTTCTGGTGGGCCCTTGCAGCAGCGTGAGCCCTGGTTCTTCTGAGGAGCTTAACCTTCCAGTCAGCTTTGGGATGCTATGAGTTCACTGTGTTTCAGAAGGGAGAAGTGTTGCTATGCCCATTTCTCCACCAGTAGGTGCCATCTGAAAGCAGGCAGTGGTAGAAGGAGCGCGTGGTGTTTTGTTGAAATATTAAATTATACACAATGCCAGCTCAAAGTCACCTTAAAAATAATTTTTCAGGCATAGAACCAGTATGCTATTGCTTATGCTAAACTGAAAACACAAGGCTGGTGGGCTAGAATACCAGTTCCTGGCTGGGATGCTGCTCACTCAGTGTGAAACCTGAAATGAAGCATGAGCTAGCATTGGGCTGGTACCCTCTGCTTCCCCCGAGGGTGCAGCAGTGTCTGTTCCAGCTGTGGCACAGAAGAAGCTGTGCCTGGGTGAAGAGGAGAATAAAGTACACATATGGTTTGACACTGCAGCAAATCCACCTGAGTGACTAGCTAGCACCAAGGGGGTGACTGTGCTTTACAGTCCTGACTAGTCTCCCTGCCCAATCCAGCCCTGTACTGGTGCATGTCTGACCCTGCGTTAGCCTGGTTCAGGGAGCTGAGTGGCAGGAAGGTTTCCCTGCTTTTTGCAGGGCTAATTTTCTGCTGGGTTTGCTTCCTGAACTGTCTCCTGAGATGTTGAGTGTTGGTGCAAACACAGGACAGTGTGATGGGAACACAACAAGTCCTTTATGCAGCAGCTGGCTGTTAGGTTGTATTGTCTACAGCATCTTGAGTTCATAACAGCAAACACCACAAATCCCTCCATGGGAGTAGAGGTGTGATAGTTACTGCAGTAGGAGCTAATCAAATCTGGTTCCTGGTTTTGGTTTTCTTAGGAAAACCAGCTGGAAACGTTCATGTGTATTTAATACAGCAGCTGCTAGACCAGAGGATAAAGGTAAATGAGTTTATGAAGCTTAGCACTGACAAATACTTGTGAAAGCCTTTAGTCTCGTATGTCTTCAGTTTCCCATCTCACACCGTGAGCACTGTTAATGCTTAGCTAGCATTCAGGCCAGTCAAGACATGCTGGAGGGGCTGTATAGGTAGCTAGTGTCAACCTGTGTGAAGGTATAGATCTGTTCACAAGAGCTTTAGCACTTCCCATGAAAGCACTTTGTTTTCAAAAGGCCAGATATGTTACATTTGACTTCTGATAACTAATCACAGAAAGAATCTTTTCAGTTGCTTTTGGTCCTTGCTTGGGATAGAGAGAAAAGCTGCTGGAAATTCATTATTTCTGCTTAGGTGCTCTCTCCTTTTCCAGCCACTTCCCTGGAGTACCTTGATGATTTTGCAATAAACTATTTTCATTCCACTGAATAAACATCTTGGTAGGAACCTAATTGAATTTTAATGAACTATGCTGGATCGTTTGAACCTACGATCCAAGTTTTTTTGGAACAAGCACTTGGAATGGCAGGTAAGAAACTGAAAAGAAATCCTTCTTCTCATATCACAGTGTGGTTGCGGACTCATAATTTTGCCAGGTTTCTCTCTGTTGGTGACATTTATAAAGAGCAGCTTCTCAGTGGGATAGCCAGCAGTGTTTTTTTCATACCTGCAGCGTCGCTAGAAGATAGCAAAGAGATCTGACTCCAGATTGTATGGTTTTGTGCTATAGATTTGATTATTTATAGAAGCTGCTGTCTGTAATTTCAGCACACATGAGACAGAAAGAAAAACTGAAAACCTATCGGGGGGTGCTATGAAGAAATACACAGATAATGTGTAAATTCCCTCTTCTTTCTCAAATCATACAGAAACTGCTCTCTCTTATGTGTCAAGAAGGAGGGGGAGGTTATGTTTCACTGATGTCCAGAAGTGACTATCCCTAGACAGCATCCAGTGAACAACCCAAGGGTCTGTGTCATCTCATCTTTTGTACCACCTTTTGTGTCTGTTTTCCCTCATCAGCACTATTGATGGAGTCTCAGCTTGGTAACTTCTGTACTGATGTGGAAGTAGGTATCATTGCGTGCATACTGCAAGGGAAAAAAAGGGAATCTGCCATCATCAACCTTTCTTTTCTTGGTGGTTGTTAGGTAATCTCTTAATCCAGTGAACTGGGGGATTTTTTCATCACAATCTTGCAGGTGGTACATGCCAAATGGCCTTTTTTGCAGAGATTAAGGAATTGTTTGTCAAGTAATCGTATCGGGAAGGATTTTCCATGTGTGGGGAAATGGGCAAGGCAAGCCATGACAACACTTGTGTGCTGATTCCTGCTACTCACTCGTGGGTCAAGTATAGTGGATTTGGAGTGTATTTGATTTCATCAGTCATTAAAAACTAAATAGCTATGTTAGCTAGTGTTCCAATGGAAGATCAGAATGTCTACAGACCACCTCTCATACATGCTGTGTGCCATTATGTTCTCTAACACATGCCATTTCTCTCTAGTCTTTGAGTCCACATAACGAACTATGTTGTCACCCTGTGTAACTGTTAATATTGTAAAGTCCTCATCCCACAAACACGTGTATGTTTAGCTTCCCATGCAGGAACTTGAACAAGAAAGGCAGCCATCTGCCTAGCTGCAGATGCAGCTAGCCTTATACTGGGCTGCATCAAGAGGAGCGTGACCAGCAGGTAGAAGGAGGTGATCCTGCCCCTCTGCTCTGCTCTCATGAGACCCCACTTGCAGCACTGTGTGCAGCTCTGGTGTTCTCAGCATCAGAAGGACATGGAGCTGTTGGAGCAAGTCCAGAAGAGGCCACAAGGATGATCAGGGGCTGGAGCACCTCCTGTATGGAGACAGGCTGAGAACATTGGGGCTGTTCAGCCTGGAGAAGAGAAGCTGCATGGAGACCTCAGAGCAGCTTCCAGTGTCTGAAGGGGGGCTACAAGGATGCTGAAGAGGGACTCTTCATCAGGGACTGTAGGGACAGGACAAGGGGTGATGGGTTCAAACTGAAACAGGGGGAATTCAGGTTGGATATGTTATATATAACCTCGCAGTGTTCAAGGCCAGGTTGGGTGGGGCTTGGAGCAAGCTGGTCTAGTGCAAGGTGTCCCTGCCTGTGGCAGGGGGTTGGAACTGGATGAGCTTTAAGGTCCCTCCAACCCAAAACAGACTGGGATTCTAACATTTTGTGTGATGGGGACCAAAGTTTGTTACGATCTCTGAAAGTGCAGGTCCATCTTGGGACTTGCAACACCATGAGGATATCAGTGTTTAAAATATAAAGGAAGGGTAAGAGGGCAAATCTTCATCATGATACCATCAAAATAAAAGGAACTACCTATGGTCACCCACATGTTCATGCTGCTTGGGAGCCTCTTCAAAGGGAGTTTGGCCAACCTGCCTTAAGGGATGCTGATAGCAAGAAAGAGCCAAGCAAAGAAAGCGTTTACTTGCTGGGACGTGGAGGGCCCATGTTCTTAATCCTATCATGCCAAATAGTGGAAGGAGAAATAAAAGTCAGACAACCTCCCTGATCTTCTGTATGTTTATTATAATTTTAACAACATGAGTAAATTGGAATCTGTAAGCAAAGCAATTACGTGAGGAGGGTCTAATAAAGTTGTTCAAGCTACAACCTACTTCGATTGTTGAGTCAAACTGAATAGAGCAGGCTGCTTTTTGGGTTTTTAGCTTCCATGGACAGAATGGGCAGTGACATCTTTCGCTCGCATGGCAGTGGTCTTCTGTGGGCTGGGAGTTTCATAATCAGCTGAAAGTAAAATAGAGAAGATAGAAATAAACCGGTCGCTACTACAAGTAGGAAAATTGCTGAACTAAGACCTGCCTTCGGCTCAGCTGCTGAAATCCCATCAACCTCAGCGGGATCCTATTATAACAAATAATCTCCCTGACCTGAGCAGAAGAGCAAGTCAAAACCTCTGCGTCAGATTCTCAGAGGTTCCATGCCTAATGGTGATTAAGGTTCTTATAAAAGCCCAACCCAGCAACCCACCCACTCTAAAGGCATTTACAGGTTATTCCCAGAGGACAAATGTCAAGAGTCTGAACTGTGTTTCTTCACAAAAGGTACAGTCAGAGTGCCAGGTCCTGTGCTCTGACTTTGAGGGGCACTGGTGTGCTTAGGAAGGGAGTTTCCTCAGTCTAGCAGCTTTAGGATTAGGATTGTGTAATAGTAGGAGGAGGGAAGGCGTAATGTACCCAAGGCAAGAAACAAAAGAGCTGCTTTGCGGCTAATGTAGCCCCCAGATGCTGTAGTAGCTTTTTAATCTCACATCTCAAATGTTCAGGGAAGTGAAACTCATGATCTACTGGAGTATTGCTAAACCTCATCCTCCCATGCCAGTGCTGCAAACCACCATCTCCCCAGTACATTAGGAACCTCTGCACGACTGGGGTTGAGGTGTTCTTCCCCTTTGGCAGCTTTTCCAAACCTCACCATCTACCACCCAGCCTTATGAAACACGAGAACCCTCCTAGTCCTCCTGCTCCCAGCAACCTCCCAACCCCTTCCCAGGCAGCGCGTGTTCTCCATCCTCGTGGCACACCTGCTTTTTAGGAGCAGTACCTGCTGTGTTCTCCATCCAGAAGGCAGTGGTACGCAGCAATGTCTTTCTCCAGCTGTTGTTTGCTGCTCAGCAGATTTTCACGATCCCGCTGCTGCTGCTCGGTTTCCATTTTGATTTCCCCCATCTCTGCCTCCAGCTTGGAAATGACAGAGCCTAGGTTCTGCAGCTCGATGTCGTGCCAGTGCTTGGCGTCATATAAAGAGTTCTCCAGACCCCTCTTCTGTAAGGGCAGGACAGCAGACATTAAAACAGTCAGGTTTCATATCACAGAGTCACACAGGATGTGTGGCATTGGAAGGGAACTCTGTAGATCATCCATTCCAAGCCCCTGCCAAGGCAGGGCCACCCTGAGCAGGTCACACAGGAATGTGTCCAGGTGGGTTTGAATGTCTCCAGAGACTCCACAACCCTCCTGGGCAGCCTGTTCAGTGCTCTGACACCCTCAAAAGAAAGGAGCTCTTCCTCATAGTCAGATGGAACTTCCTCTATTTCACTTCATGCCCATTGCCCCTTATCCCATCACTGGGCACCACTGAAAAGGGTCTGACCCCAACCTCTTGACAGCTGCCCTGAAGATATCTGTATGCATTGGTAAGATCACCTCTCAGTCAGCTCTTCTCCAGGCTAAACGGGCCCTGCTTTCTCAGCCTTTCTGGGATTCCTGAGGATCTGGGATTCCTGAGGGCTGGCCTTGGCAGTAAAGGCTAAAGCAAAGAAGGCAGTCAGTAACACCACCTTCTCTGTATCCTTCATCACCAGGGCCCCCACCTCACTCAGCAGCAGGCCCCCGTTTTCCCTAGTCTCCATTTGCTACTGATAGACTTGAAGAAACCCATCTTGTTGTCCTTGACATCCCTTGCCAGATGTAATTCCAAATGGACCTTAACTGTCCTCATCGCATCCGTGCATACTCTGACAACGTTCCTATATCCCTCACAAGTGGCCTGTCCCTTTTTTCACTTTCCATAAACTGCCTTCTTCTATTTGAGTTTTGCCAGAAGCTCCTTGCTCATCCCTGCAGGGCTTCTGCCTGCTTTGCTTCATTTCTTACTCAGAGGAGTGTATTGATCATGAGCTTGGAGGAAGTGATGCTTGAATATTAACCAGCTGTATTGCCCCCCCCTACCTTCTAGAGCCCTGACCCACTAGATTGCTCCAAGTAGGTCACATATGCCTCATAGGGATTTTTATTCAGGTTTGGCCAGTATCTCTATTGAATATGCTTAAGTGGAGATGGAATATTTTGAGAATTCCTTTCTTTAGATACTTTGCAAAATGTCTATTACCATGCCAAAGGTTGAACTACTTTGGTTACAAGGTGCAGGTGTTCTTCACGTTGTCAAGTACTGCCCACCCAGCAATTATTACTGAGTACAAAGACATTGAAGATTGACATTTGGGGTTTGGTACGCTTAGTGCACCACGTCAATCAAGAAGAACCCAGAAAGGTCTGGCATCTCTGGAAACAGCATCCACTGGAAAACGGGATCTGTTCCTAAGTCTCTATCCCAAGCTGGGAGGGTTTTCCTCAGAAGGCACGTTGAATTTGCACGCAGTGCCCCCAGCACGACTTACCAAGGTCCTCAAGGATTCCGTTTCTGCTTGCAAGCTCTGTATTTTGCAGGCGGTTTCATGGAACTCGGTCCTGAGGCCCTCCACCAGCTCCTCCTCCTGGGTTCGCACGGCCGCGGTCGCTTCGGCCTGCTGCTGGTAAAGGATTGCCACTGTCATCATAACCTACTCAAATGATGGGTTAGTTTCCTTACGAACCAAAGTGACAGCTAATATTTACACAGTTCATGGCAATCCTGACTTTACATCTCGTTCTTCTATTTTAAAGCCCTCAGTTGAACAATTTGGGATACTTCTTAGTGTCAAAATCACCATCTTTTCGATGCATTTACTGTAAAATGGCTTATACCTCTAAGTGGGTATATTTTATCTCTGACCACAAAGCTGCTCAGCATTCATACTAGTACATTTAAAATGACCTATAAAAAGAAAATGTGACTGTAATTCTCCATTTTGTAGCTATAATTAATATAATTATGCTATATATATGATATAGAATATAGGATATAGAATAGAATATAATTATGCTATAATTTTTTTAAGAAGCAAAGTGATTTCACTTAGTCTGTTGGATTTCAGAGGTATTCGTGGCTTGATTTCCCACTTAGGATTCGGTGAGTCACAGAGCAAGTCATCTCACACAAGTCAGAAGGATAAGTTGAATTAAGATGTTCTTATGTTATTTCATGCTCTTGTTTCTTGTGGGCTTTTATACGTGTTTAGGTCAGGGTCCTTGAAATGAGGTGAAGGAAAATGTACCTTAGCAAACCAAAAGTGTCTATAGCTTTTAATGAGGGCTGAGATCAAGGTTTTCAGTCCAGAGCTCTGGGCTCTCTGGCAAATGGAATTCTTCAGTCAAAACCTACATTTCTTCTGGTTGACGTTAAACTATGCAGAATAGCTCTGTTCCACTCAGAAAGTTCATCTTGACCCTGTCCTGTTTTTCTGATCATCCATTTTCTTCCCAAATAAGAATAAATTTAAAGTAAGTCTGGGACCGTGCATCAGAACTAGTTTTTATAGGGGATGGTTTTGGTACCATCATGTGAACCCCACACCTTGGTCACTGTAACGAAATCATCTCAGGTGCAGAAGGTCATTTAAGTACAAGGTTAACCTCAAACAGAATTTAGGCTTTATGAAGCTGTATTGCAGAGGGTGAATTTCAATGCAAACACCAGCTGTCCTTCACAGAGGCTGTGCTTCAGAGAGACCTGATCTCACCTCACTAGTCCTGATGATCCCAGCCTAGTGATCCCTGGACCTGCCACTCTGGAGTCATTTGTGTCTCTTAAGTTGCATTGAAAGTGTAGCCTGCGTGTTATTATGCTATGAGGACTATGATACCTCTTTTTAAAGGGCAAGAAGGGTGCTTTTGCTCCTATACGTATAACCTACACCCATTACCTGAAGCCTAGTATCTCTCATTCACATTTACCCTGCTGGTGGCCCTAATGCTACCTATAAATCCAGCTTGCCTTTACCACAGGTGATGTTGAATCTCCTCCAAGAGATACCCTAAGCAGTCACAGCTACCTGACTTTAGCGATATGAAGGATACAACAGGCAGATGGAGTAGATGGGCCCTAAATACCAAGGATTACACAGCAAGTAAGCACACACTGAATGAGCTTTAAAGCTTTTGGTACACACAGGGGCTCCCTAACCTCCTTACAGATTACCAGCTGAGTTGTACCAACAGTCCAAGTGGAGGGTGCTGCTGGACCCTCACTTTTGGGTTTCTTCTGTAGAGAAACTTCAGCTTTGGGGTTCCTTCTATAGAGAAGTTCAGACATGGTCCTCATGCCCTCTTCCCTTGTCAGTTTGTGGTTTCTGCTCTGCTCTTCCTATTCCTTAGAGGCTCCACAAAGCAAAGGCCATACTGAACTGTGGTGCCCACAAAAAACTGGATTAATGAAGGGAGAGGATGAAATCATCCTCCTAAATCTTTACCAATCAGCTTGGTGCCTGAGTTTCCTGGGGATGTGTGGATTTCAAGCCCATCTGTACAGTTCTGAGCCAGGCGTTGTGCAGAATCTCTCTCTCATTAGTCTGTTTTTCATGGAATCAAAAGAATTAAAGGATGATTAGGGATAGAACACCATCACCCAGGGTCTGACCAGCATGACAGCTGCAGGGGGAAAGTGGCTTTGATAAGCTCTGAATAATTCTGGGAATGTGTTAGCAAAGCAAGGGAGAACCTTTCATGAGATGGACTATATGGGACCACAGAGGAAGCCACATAATTGTGTGTTCAGAGCAGAGCATTGCCATGGATCAACAGCTGGTCAAGAGACAGCACATCAAGAGGATTAAGGTCTAGCTCCGTTATGACAGAAGCTCAACAGCTTGATGCCTCAAGGTTTTACTGCGTTGGGGATGAATCATGAACTGGAAGGGTTTATGGGGGGCAGGTAAGCAACGAGCAGGGGTGGATGTGTGGAATCAAGCTACGTGAATGAACAGCACCACGTCGTTAAGTAAAGCATTTTTCAGGGAAGAATATTAAAGAGCTTGCATGTCTTACAAGGGTTTAAATCACTTCTGACAATTCGGAGAAGGGTTTGAGCATTATGGACAAAGAAAAGTGCAGATGTCAAACCAATGGCTTGAGTTTTGAGGTTACTGTCTCATCTAAGGAAGTCTCATGTGAAACCCCCTTAGGTATGTATGTAAATTGCTATGGTTTGGTGCCTGCATATCCCTGAGAAACCCAGGCAAGACTGCAGTTCCAGTCAGAAACAAAGCAAAAAGGGCAAGAGTCAGAGAATAACAGAAATACTGCCCTGATGTGTAAGTCAGTGCTAGGACATCATTTGAAATACCTTGGTCTCAGCTGGTCACAGCTACACCAAAGAGTGGGTACTGAGAATTATAGAATCATAGACTCATAGAATGGTTTGGGTTGGAAAGGGCCTTAAGATCATCCAGTTCCAACCCCCTGCCACGGGCAGGGACACCTCACACCAGACCAGGTTGCTCCAAGCCCCTGTGTCCAACCTGGCCTTGAACACTGCCAGGGATGGGGCAGCCACAGCTTCTCTGGGCACCCTGTGCCAGCGCCTCAGCACCCTCACAGGGAAGAACTTCTGCCTTAGATCTAACCTGAACTTGCCCTGTTTCAGTTTGAACCCATCACCCCTTGTCCTATCACTACAGTCCCTGATGAAGAGACCCTCTCCACCATCCTTGTAGCCCCCTTCAGACACTGGAAGCTGCTCTGAGGTCTCCACGCAGCTTCTCTTCTCCAGGCTGAACAGCCCCAGTGTTCTCAGCCTGTCTCCATACAGGATGTGCTCCAGCCCCTGATCATCCTCGTGGCCTCCTCTGGACTTGCTCCAACAATTACAGGGAGCTTTCTATGTCAGCTTAAGCTCATGATTTAAAGAGGAATCCAGTCTGTAACTTCATTCATTTTGCTTGTTCCCATTTTATTATCTGATTGCTCTTTACTCCAAGAGCACAGAATGGTGTGCTGTTACCCAATGGGCAACTCTTCTCTCATTTTCTCAGCCTGTTTTTGTACTCCAGCCCCCTGAGAAATGAAGTTAAAATATCGGGGACCAAGGAAAATCTCACAGGGAGAGACTGAAGGAAGTGGCAAAGAGGAGGGAACTGCTCTCCCTCTGCTGTTGCAAGAGTAAGAGCAGGTTTTTCACAGTGTGGGTAACCAAGTAATGCAACTTGGCCACATAAGATAAGTGTACAAGTTGAAAAAAGCTGAGCTCTTGTTACCAGTATAAATAGTGATAACCTAAATACATCTGCCTGAGATACAAAACTGCATGAGGTATGAGATACATCATCATGTGGATTTAATGAGAGGTATACCTGGGGACAAAACCCTCTAGAATGTCATACCAGAACGTGATCAGAACCACAGCTGATCTTGCCAGAAAAGCAAAGCAGGAAGAACTTAAACTAGTGAGAGCTTAGGGTAGGATGGCCTAGCAGGGATAGGTTAGGTATCAAAGACACGGGAGCGGGATCCAATGATCAGTCTAGTATGAGCTGGCAGTTTTGTCCTCAAATGATATCTCTGCAAGACCAGGTATTGGAAGGTGTGAAAGAAATAGGAAGAAAGAAGTGGTGGGGCTTTGTTTGCACAGGAGGAGGCAGACCAGGCCACACAGGGAAGTGGGGACACTGAGGAATTTGGTGTGTCGGGGGCATGAAACCTGTCTGTGAACCAGGAACAGATTTTGTGGGAATAGCTCAGGAGGTTTCTGAGGATGGGTTGGCTTCTCAAGGCTGCCTGTGCCTTGCATGGAGGCACTCTCCAGGCTCACGTAGCTTATTAATGTGTCACTGACGTCCTTTGGGGCTGCAAATCAGGGCCCCACAGAACAACCTGATGGAGACTTTGCTTAGTAATGGTCTGGCACAGCCACAGACTTGATGGGCCCTCTCTCTGGTTGGCTTCTTGTGCGTTCCCTGGCACCTTTGGTATCAACTGTTGTCACAGTTTCATTCTTTCTGTTGAAAAGAAACGCCTACTCAGAGCTTGCGTATATGTTTGCAAGCACAGTTTTGGCTTTTTCCTTGCTGTTTGCCTTCACTTCCCCCCACTTTGTACCATGAAACAGGGGTGTGTGTGCTTTTACTATATATTACATATAAATATTACATATAGCACAACTGTAGTTATGATCTGCTGTGCTGTAATAGCCACCGCAGGATGAGATGGCTGCTAACAGACAGGATCATTCCCTGATGGTCATCTATGATCATTACTCTTCTCATCACTTTTCATTTCTGAGTTAGTATCCAGCTTTCCCACTGCTGCCAAAGGATGCAGTAGTAAGGAGGAATCCATGAGGAGTCTGTGTAATTAGTGGAGAGCATTATGTATTACCTTTTTGATTTACAGACCCCTCTAAAGTGTTCAGCAGAGGAGCGATCCTGGTGAGAAGGGTATCAACTGACTGAGTTCTGGGCCACCACTTGAAGATGTTCCTGCTCTTTGCAGGGGGTTGGACTGGGTGAGCTTTAAAGGTCCCTTCCAACCCAAACCATTCTATGGTTCTATGGTTCTAAGTCTGTTTTCCTTGGCCAACATTTCAGAGCCCCTGAAGCCTCCCACAGATACCTGTGGTATCAGCAGGGTCATTCCCACCACTGCTTACCTCTGCCTCCCAAGAGAGCCACACACTCTGTGTGTGTTTTCCCATGGACTTGGACCAAAACCCTTTAGATTTTTAAGACCATTTTTGTTTCAAGGAGAAGCCAAACACCCAACCCTCAAAGTTACTGCAGGGTATTAGGTTGGTGTTTGCTTCAAACCTGTGGTGCTGTTGCGCTTACCTTGGTACGAAGCAGGGCTCCTGTCTCAGCACGATTCTTTTCAATGTCTCTCTCCCAGTGGATTCTGATTTTTTCCAGGATGTCATCCAGGCCACTTCCCAGGGGAACATCCAGTTCTTCCAGCTGAGATCCCGCTAGCTGCTTGTATAATACCTTCACATCCTTGAACGAAAATGACAGGCAGAAAGTGAACTGAACCATTGACTTCAGAGAGGCTCAAGGAAGAGCTCGTTCGGTGCCAACAAAGAGAATCATTACGTTTGACCCCAAAAGGCATCTCTACATTAATGATTTAATGCACTGGAGGGTTTCTTTGTCAGATATGGATTTGCCTTTGCTTCCTCATGGGGAGTCTTGCTTCAGCTCTGGGGTACTGGAAGCCGTTTCCCCTTTGGTGAAGGAGGCTGAAGCCCTGCACCAAGTCACTGCCCTCACCGTGGCAAGTTTCTCCAGCAGTCAGAGCTTGACACATGCACACTGCAAACCTGGGGCCCAAACCCAGCACAACTGCGCTGCCAGGAAGGCTGCAGTGTGGACATTGGGTCAAGGAACTAACAGCTTGCAGCAAACCAAACCCTGCTCTTCCCTCTCTGCTGCACCATGCAACGACATAGACACAAGTCGTGCAAAGAATCTCGTGTGAGCCACCTGTGTGCTTCTATGCATGTGCATGTTAGATGAAGAGCACTCTCCTTCTCCGTGGCAGCATTCTGTTTCTTTACTTATAAGTGCTCCAAAACCGTGTAAGCAGTAGAGAATTGCTGTGTCTAGAACTTAAAGGTAGCCCATCAGCTGTACCTTGTGTTCAGGAACACAAGAATAAATGAGGTTTGCACATGTATCTGAACTATCTGGCACCACAAGCCTTTTACATCGATCTGTTCGTATGTTCTATTGGTGTGAGCAAAATGAAAAGTAGCATAAAGCCATCTGCTAACTGTATTTGTAAGCAATAGCCTCTGACAGTGACAATACTGGGGGAAAGTGGATGGGAATTACATGAATTATGAATCTTTAAGAATGAAAGCCTTCAAATGTGCTCACTCCGTGTTCACAAGAGCTTGACATGGATTGGAGGAATGCAAAGTTGGAATGATTTCAGGAAAGTCCTTGGGACTTCACTGTGCCACAGCTCAGCTGGAGTAATGGCAATAGTTGCTTCCAGCCTTTATTCTTTGCCTTCTCTTGAGCAGCTTCCCCTGGTGCTGCTGCCATGGGAAAACCAGGTCCGTGCTGAGGTTGCTCAGATACTCCAAATGGGTAAGGAAATGAACATCATTCTACCCTGCACGGGCTCCTCACTGGCTAAATGTGGAGCAAGAGAAGCTGCTGGGAAGGTGGTTATGCCATATTTATGGGCAGAGAACAGCCTCAGTGCCAGCATTTCTGGTTTCAGGAACACAGACAGAGGCTTAAAGGGGATCCTGTGTATTTCTATCAATGTTTTGTTTTCCCTCTTATCTAAAACGATTTCCATCTTTCTCATGCTGTGCAGCACTGATGGAGCCATAGGTTATTTTCTGCACAATGCCAGCCTTGGGATTAGACTTGTGAAAGCAGGGAGGGGGATAAAGGAACTTCATCTTGGCAAGCCAAGTCCATATATACCTGCCAGTGATGCTGAAATCTTGTGGTTGGAGAAATAACCTGGAAGAAAGGTAAGGCAGGATAGTGCCTTGCTTCCATGAACCACCTCAATCCAATCTCCCTTTTACTTTTGAAGCATCAGGACCCTTGCTTGTTGCCCCTTATGTGGGATTAGTAGTAGCTCCATATCCAAACTGCCATCAGTAAAGACGGTGATGTAGATCTGATCCTGAAACCCCTGCTGAAGGCAATAAACCACCTTCATGCAAATAGTGCTGGTGAATGTGATGAGTAAGTGGGAAAGCATTGCAAGACTGGGTAATGATGGGCTTCCCTTCCAGCTGCCTGTCCCCCTGACTTGCTTCTGGGGTGTGTTGCTCAGGAGAGATTCTGCAGTGGGAGCTGAGCAGCTCGCTGAGCCAAGCAGGGCATGTTCAGAAGGACCTGGCTATAATGTTCAGTGTTAGTGCAGCAGGCCCAGAGCTTGTTCCCTGCACACTCTTTACATCTCTGGCTGAGGATCAGACCTCTCTGGTGAGATGTCCACATAGGTGCAACCCTGTGACCACCGTGTGGTGTCTAGCAAGAAGTGACACCTCTTCCATGTCATGTTTATCAGGCAGGAAAGACTTAAGACTTAAAGGCAAGCAATTTAGAGGTTAGTGCTTGAAGTTAACAGAGAGAGACATAAGAGCGGGTTTCAGAAGAATCCCCAGCCCCAGACATGACAGGCAGAGCTTTTTAGTGCTTGGTTTGCCCTAGATGTATGATACCAACCGGATGAAACAGGCACACATTGGCTTTGCAGTGTCCCGAGTCTGGACTTACTTCTTCATGAGTCTTTGACAGCAAAGTTAGTTCTTCTTTCATGCTCTCTATCTGACTCTCCAGATCCATTTTAGTTAAATTAGCATCATCAATCACTTTATATAGCGAATTAATTTCGTCTTCCACTGCCTTTCTGAATGGCTGCTCATTTTCATACCTGCAGAGAACACAAAACCCCCCCAAAACCTTAATCCAGCACAGTTCAGCGAGAAAAACCTGCTTTCTTTTCAATGACACCGTTTGGGCTAATTGCCTTGTGTCCCAGACAGAGGCACAGAAGATATACTTTGCTCTCACCTTGTCTCACTGTGCTTGAATTTAACTGCCAAAGGAGCCTTTCATGAACTCAGAGTGTAATAAAACAGGCCCCCTTTGCGCTCTGCGCTGCCGTGGTTACAGCCCAATAGGAGTCCTGAACAAGCACGGAGAGGCATATGGTATTTATATACAGTATGACTATGGGTGGCTCGTTCTCTATTTGCTTGGCTGTAAAATGAGAACAACTGCTCCTTCATCGACATGAAGACTATTCAGAGCTATGGTTAAAGAAAACACGTGCACGTCAAATGCATTACTGTTACTACAGACATGCTGACGGAAGTCTGGTCTATGTTCCAGGGCCCCAGCCCATCCTTAAGATGTAGTAGTATCAAAAGAAAAAGGGGAGTTGAGTGGCTGGTTTGTCAACTAGAATTGCTGCTCGTTTCTAAACCGTGGCTGCCGTGGTAGGAGCAGGTTGTGTCAGGCAGTTGTTGCTATTCTACAGCGCTGCTTGCTGCATCACTCTTGTTTCTGCCTTTTCATTTCAGGCTTTCCACTGAAGATGTGAGGAATCTCCTTGGTGAGAATCAGGAGCTTTTCCTATGCAGTGGGTTGATTTGACACTGGTTTTGTGATGGAGACTGCGTGCCTACACCGCAAGTGTAGGACATAAAGCCGTCAAATGAGTATCGCAGAGCAGTACCTTTCTGAAATGAAAGGCAAACCTCAGAACAGGATTAATGCACTTTTTGATATGTTTCAATAAAATAATACCAGAGGGATGATAAAAATCATAGGAAATAAAGCCCAATGAGTCTGAAACACAGTTTGTGTGTCAGATGGTGCAAAAATCTATTTGAAAATGAACGAGCCCATTATGAGGAAAAGCTGGAAGCTGAGTCAAATCTAAAGAGCTGCATGCACTCATGCACATCAATATCAGACTCTGAGAACAAAAAGACATCAAACAAGTAGTTTGCCAGTATTTAAGATCTTTTGCTATTCCTTTCTCTCAGTAGAGATGAGGAAAACCAGTGCAGCCCATTTGTTTTCTTATCTAACACTTCCACGCAGACATGTGTAGTGGTGTGGTTTTTGCTTGTCAGCTGCTGCAGCAGAATGGTTGTGACTTCCCAAACCATTTATGTGGGACTGAAAATCACAGCTAAAAAGCACATGGAAATTTTGCCTTTATTAAATGTCAACCCAAATGTGAATGAATACTGACCTCTCAGTAAGAGACCAGTGTCTGTATGCCAAAGAATAGCTTGCGTAATGTTGTAGTGCACATTTATGTTCCTTTAAACCTTAAAAATATTCCCAAATAATGTTAGCATCAGAATTATTTTGCTGTTACAACCCCCCTCCCAAGGCAGGTGGTGAATGCCCCATCCCTGGCAGTGTCCAAGGCCAGGTTGGACAGAGCCTTGGGTGACACGGTCTAGTGTAAGACATCCCTGCCCATGGCAGGGGGTTGGAACTGGGTGATCTTAAGGTCCTTTCCAACCCAAACCAGTCTGGGATTCTATGAATAGTCAAAAGAATGAGCCCATTCTATTAACTAAGCATTGCTCCATCACAGAGTAGGGGTTTGCCAGGGTAGAGTTTCAAAGGAAGTGGCCAGTTGGTGCCACCACAACTTTACCTGTCTTTAAAATCTTCAGCACAGGCTTGAATATTCTCAGTGTGCAGCATAAGACGAGCATTTTCGAGGACTGCTTCGCCCACCTAGAAGAAAGAGACAACAGAGCTCAAGCAATGAGGAGCTTCAGCACCTAACTACGTGCACTGTACATGTGTCTTAAGCAGATGGATAGCTTTGAGTCTGAAAACAAGCCTCTAGCCGAGGGCTGTTCAAGTGACTCATTCCAGATAGATAGCGTAATCAATTACATTTGTACCTATAAAGGCACAAATTCTCTGCAAAGAGGCTGTAATTTGTCACCAAACTCATTCCTCCCCAGCATTCGTCTTCCTGTGGAAACACATTTATTGTGATCATCAGCTGGTGGCAAGGGGCAAAATTCATTCCAGCGCGCAAGGTACGGGCATCGCTTAAGTCCCACTTATATTTTCACGGTACAGTTTAAGCAGCACTTATGCAGTTCCTATGCTACTTCCCATATCAGCAGGCCTCTGCGGGGTTGTCCTCTTCAGTGAGCCAAGGAATACTTGTTGCTTATTCTGCCTGCGAGCCGTCCTCAGCTCCCAGAGCATCGTTTTCCTCCTCTGATGGGATCCTGTAAGCTCCTGTGATACGTGTGAGACCTGAGAAGCAGGGGGTCCTGCGAGATTATTACACTGAATGGGAAATGCTTTGAAAAGATTGAGCAAATAAGGCTGTGCTATCATTGCTGTGGCTCTGGGGTGGATCTTTAATGCCCAGGAGAGGCTTGAGGAGTAAGCAAAGCGGAAAGGCGTGTGACTTAACAGCTTGCTGTGATTCAAGGATATATAAAATGATAAAAGGGTTAAAAAGACCACATGTGCACTGAGCTATGGAAGTGACCCAAACCGTGTGGAATTTAGCACCAGAGAGTTCACCCCTGCAAACAGCTATCTGAGGACTCCAGCCTTCCCATGGTCCGTGATGTCGCTCTGAAGGAGCTAAACTGAGCATCTCTTTGGGCTTTTTCAGGACATACCCATGGAGATTTGCAGTTGAATCTAAACCACCACGTGAATAAAAGCAGCTTTTTAAGTGGGATTTAAAGGGAGAGTTCTGGAAGCAGAAATCTTTCTTTAGATAACTGAGTCTGCAACCAAATGAGATCACAAATCCCCCGAAGTGTTCTGCTGCCCTGAGGTGAAACTGGCCAAGTCATGTGGAGACATCAAGGCTGCATCCTGCAAGTTATCTGAAGTACCACAAGTGGGATCATTGCCTTAGTACGGTCCTACCTGCCCTTCAGCCTGCTGCTTGGTGATGGGGTGAAGGTGAACATGCAAGGCTGAAGCTTTTCTATGTGGTTATGAGTATTCATCCTCACAAAAAAGGGCTTACTGCTCCAAATGTCTGGGACAAGCAAATATGAAATCTATGAAGGCATCTGACAAGGAGAGATGTGGAGGAATTCCGCACATTAGGAAGTGCATAATGGATCATGACGTTAAAAGCACTCTGCATCTTCTAAAGAGTTAAAAGAAGTGTTTTGCTTGCTTCTCACCTACTGTTAGGAACAAAGAGGGAAGGTGGCTGTGGCTGGAGCTCCATTCCTGCCAGCTCCAGCTCGGCGCTTGGCTTCCGAAGGAAACAGATCTCATACCATTGCACTGGCGGCCAATTTCTCTTTCCTGTGGGATTTCTTGGCCGATTCCACCCCATAGGGTAGAGGGATAGGCCATCAGAGACATGCAGTTCCAACACGCTGCATGCAAATAGCATCTAGACAGAGGAGAGAGGCCTGAGAACACTGCTGCTGGGCAGAAATGGGTTTCAGCATGGGAGAATGAAGGGAGAGCAGGAGCCAGGGATGTTACAAAAGCCATAGGTATGGGCAAGGAGATGGTATCTCAGGGCACACCAGCCAGCCCTGCTGGGCAATACGCAGGTACAAGAGACTTTCATGTGCTTGCTGGCACACAGAACAGGCTCTTCTTCGTTGTTCAACCCCTTATTTCCTTCTCCCTGCTCTTTTGCAGCCCCACTTTGCCAGCACTGGCTTAACACCCCAACACCCTCTTTGTCCTTCTGCGGCACTGGGGACATGCTGCTTTGCCATCCTCGGGTCCCAGTGCACCAGGAGATCTGAGTGTCTCCTGAAGGATGGAGGGGAATACATTCAGTTTTTAGATGGCAGCAGTATGGAGCTAGAGGCAGTTCTTTGACTCAGACTCAATGGTTGAACTGTTTTCTTCCTCCTTTTCCTTTTCCTTTTCCCTTTCCTTTTCCTTTTCCTTTTCCTTTTCCCTTTCCTTTACCCTATGGACAGTGTTTTGTATTCCTGTCAACTCACACCCCTGTGGATCATCACAGGAGCTTTGATTTCTTTTTCCTGATTCAAATCAGGGAGCTGCCCTGTGATTTGCCCTGCCCTGTCAGGACAAACCCATCAGTGAGCCCAAATCTGACTTAAAGTCTGATGAGAATGAATGTCTTTGAGGGAATTTGGAACATCCCACGAGCAAAAGTAACATTAAATGCTGTGAGCTGCACGGTGCCACTCAGAGGCATGTTGGTGGCCACATTTAGAGGCTGAATCCAGTGGAAGATGGCTCTTGGGCTGCAATGAGAGCAGAAGCAGGGAATAGCTGGTGATGTGCCGCTGCCTGGATTCCTGCCCCTATATAAAGTGCTTTTTAAAAGTGCTTTTCAGTAGAAATCCTGTGGGTTTATTGAGGCCTTTGAGGTGACTTCTTACCTGCCCCACAGTGGAACCCTGGTACCATGCTCCTGAGGACTTGGTCAGTACCTGACTCCCCTGCCATAGGCCGGCAGCTAATGCCAAATACTCAGGGAGGAAGACCAGGGCTCTCCAAAGCTGCACACAGACCTGAACTGTATAAACAGTATAACAAAGCCTCATGTTTGGAAGGCTTCAAACGAGGGCTGTGGGGGGAGCCAGCAGGCTTTAGCCTTTCAACCCTCCTGGACATCAGCTGAGTATGCTCCAAGTCCAGCAGTGGACTTGCAGGGTAAATAGGACATGGTAGCCTCTATGCAGAAACCAGGTATCCTGGGAAACTCTGCTTTGCACAGGCTGTGGAAGCCCTTTCCCAGGCTTCAGCAGAAGGGATGTGAGAGTCCCATCTAGCGGCCCTTTGGTTTGATTGAACTCAACCAACAGCGGGAGGCGAACACGCAGCGTTTTGCTGACACACGCACTGAAGTGCACGGTGCGGCGGTTTAGGAAACACGTTTCTTTGAGTCCATTGGGAATGAGAGGGCTTGTAATGCTGCAGGCACTTAGACATCGCCTTCTCCTGCACCTCAAATCCTGTGTTCAGCTCTGGGCCACTCACTGCAAGAGAGACATTGAGGTGCTGGAGGGGGGCCAGAGAAGGGCAACGGAGCTGGTGCAGGGCCTGGAGCACAAGTGTGATGGGGAAGGGCTGAGGGCCCTGGGAGGTTGTGTGGAGAAGAGCTGAAAGGTCTTTTCCAGCCCAGTTGCTTCCATGATTTTATGATTCTCTGCTCATAAAGCAGAAGGCAGCACTGTCCCTGCCTCACAGGACTTACAGGAGGCTTTGGTCACTGATGCTCCTGTGCCATTTGAGCAGCCAGAATGGGAAGTGTTATAAAAATGCAAATATCATTACTAACAAGGGCTCCTCTAAGTCACGCATTGTGTTCAACACTCGGAGCTGTGATGTGCATACACCTTTTGAACGTGGTTTTTTTCGGCTCTTGAACTAACACTGAGTATTTGTGGTATAAAGCATCTTCACTAGAGAGCAGCAACAATTCTCTTTGATTTCACTGGGGTTTTATGGACATACAAATGCAGTTCTGATTTTTAGGATAAAAACCTTATCAGAAATCTGCATCAACATCCCGGCCCATTTACTGCGTTACAACTGACAACAAGGAAAACCAGCTGCTTCAAGGGACTGCAGACTCCAGCCTTCATCTCAAAGCCTGATGTGAAACAGACACACATGGGGAGAACTTATCCCTGGTGACTGGCAACCTTTAATGGGGCCAAGTTTGGCATTGCAAGGTTTACTATGCCTTTCAAGATCTTAGCTATGCTTTAAATAGCTTTAAATAGTTTTGCCGTTCTTATAAATGCCTAAATCCTTTCTGAATGCAGCCATATTCTTGGCCTCAGGTTTGACCTGTGATAATGAATCTCATGGTTTAATTATTCATGTAGTGGAGAATCATCTGGCTTTTAAGTTCAGTTAAAGCAAATGATGTGTCTCTGGAGAAAGATCAGAAGACGCCGGTCTGGTCTTTCCTTCCACACACAGAAGGAAGTTCTTATCAACCCATCGCCTCCAACGCACTTTAATTCATGCCTAAACCAGGCCAGAAGCATGCAACCCAGTGCCTGCTGCTCAGGTGCCAAGCAGGAAGAGCAGAACACTGTCATGCTTTCCATGTTGAACCTCTTCTCAGGGCCTGAAGAAGGAAAACTCCATGTTCACAAATGGTGTAGACGAGGCCTCAGTGCCATGGGTTAGTGGTGGCCTTGGCAGTGATGGGGAATGGCTGGACTGGGTGAGCTTAAAGGGCTTTTCCAACCTGGTTGGTTCTATAAGTCGTACGATTCAAAGGTAGCAAGAGTGGCATTTGTAACACCACCTTGGTAAAGGTAATACCTGGAATGGCTGGGAAGATTGATGGGTTCTTTGCTGATTCCTGCTACATCCAGGAAAGCACGACTTCATTTGTACATCAAATACTTCATAAGTAAACAGGACTGCATCAGAGAATGCCTGGTTCTTAAAGCAGGAGATACCTTCTAAAGAAACACTCTGTAAAACCTGGAGTGTTGCCTAAGCACAAGGAGAAAACCTCAGCCCTCCTCCTCACATCTGCAGTTGAAGGGAGTCCAAGGTTGTGCTCTTGGAGGTGCCTGAGACGATACCATTAAACCTGATCTATTGCCACCCTCTGTAACGGTGGTTGATCAAGCTCCATGTCATTTGGTGGGAGTTTGTTGTGCCATTCCACACATTTCCATACACTACTCATGCACTGTGTTGTGTTGGACTGTGTTACAGGTAACACCCAGCCGCTCTCCTGGCCCCCGAAATAAATCACTGGCAAATAAATCACTGCATGTGAGTCCTCAGGCTGTCAGTCCTGTATATTCCCCAGGCTTAACATTAACATTGAGTAAATGCTGACGGTAAGGTCAGGTGCACATAGAAGTATCTCTATAGAAAAACCATGGTGATGATTTTTCAAGCGCTCCCAACCATGCACAGGAGTCACAGCAGTGATCAAGTTGGTCCAGGACATTGATTCCTTCTCCTGTGACCTGAACCATGCTACATGCCAGCTCATAGACAGCATAAATGTGTGTCCCACAGAGCTGTAATTGAACGGTCACAGAGGCTGAGCTTTTCTTCTCTATAAACTTGCTGAGAGTATTTCAAGCACCCTCTTTTCCCAGGTGCTGCCCTGCTCTGGGGGAAGGAATTGCTGTTACAACCAACCTCCTACCCTGCCCGAAAGACATTCGATCAGAGATGGGATTTTCCACAAGAACACTGGGATGAAGCCTGAAGAAAAGAAGTGTGCCCAGGGTGAAATGAGATGGATTTGAATTTCTTTCACATGAATTCCTCTCCAGAAGGATTTCCCATTTCCCTCATTTCCTGCAAGGCTCCTCCCATTTTCTGCCTGTCCCAGTAAGTGTTTGTCCCCCTGCTCTGCTAAAAACCAGCTGCCCAGCAGAGAACCGATGTTGTGACCGGGATAACGGCTTCCCATCATTCAGCTCCTGTCAGTGTTCCCCTGCTGCAGTAACAGCCCTGACAATCGTGGTGCAACATGAGTGGGTTTTAGAATCACAGAGTCAACCAGGCTGGAAAAGCCCTTTAAGCTCACCCAGTCCAACCGTTCCCCAGCACTGCCAAGGCCACCACTAACCCATGGCACTGAGGCCTCGTCTCCACGCTGTGTGAACACTTGCAGGGACGGTGACTGCAGCCCTGCCCTGGGCAGCCTGTTCCAATGCCTGAGCACCCTCTGGGGAAGGAATTGTTCCTCAGCTCCATCTAAACCTGCCCTGGTGCAGCTTGAGGCCGTTTCCTCTTGTCCTGTCCCTTGTTCCTTGGGAGCAGAGACCGACCCCACCTCACTACAACCTCCTCTCAGGCAGTTGTGGGGAGCAATCAGGTCCCCCCTGAGCCTTCTCTTCTCGCTGTCACGTTTCCCCCCCTAGCTCTGTGTTCAGTACTGGCACCCAGTTGTTATTGCTGGGAGGAAAACCACCTGACATTTGGGATGCCAAAACACACCCCGGGAAAGGTAGGGGGAAAACAGGACCTCAGGACCACTGGGGTCTCTTCTATCCCACTGTGGAGATGAGCCCGTCACATTTCTGACTGTGGGACCAGGAGAGCCCTATGTGCTGTATCATTGTCTTCTCACCAGCGTGGCAGGAGGAAAGGGCTCCTGTCTGGATACCCCACCTGCCCAGCTGTGTGTGTTTCTGTGATGATTCTTGTTCAAAACCGGTTCCTACCATGCACATTTGGGCTAAACCCAGTGGCTGCTCCTTCCACCCCAAAACTCTCACAGCTGCTCCATGCAAATGGCACCAAGGGGGCTGTAGTTGCTGGGCATCCTTCTTGGCTGAACAGATGGGGCTCCCTGGGAATCCCAGACTGGTTTGGGTTGGAAGGGACCTGAGAGCTCATCCAGTCCCAACCCCCTGCCATGGGCAGGGACACCTCACACCAGACCAGGTTGCTCCAAGCCCCTGTGTCCAACCTGGCCTTGAACACTGCCAGGGATGGGGCAGCCACAGCTTCTCTGGGCACCCTGTGCCAGCGCCTCAGCACCCTCGCAGTAAAGTGATGTAATTCAGAAAACGTTATGTATTTTAATGGTTAAATAGGTATGGATTAAGCTAATCTTTTATTTTCTATGACACTTGCAAATGCTATTACTACATAGCTTTACTGTGCTGGTTTTACGTAGGAAAAGCCTACTGTCTAAGCTCAATTTCATTATGAGCTGCTCTTATTTACTCATACAGGAGGCAAGGCAGCAGGGTGACACTATAAAGAAAGGTTAAAAGGAAAGCAATTTGGGTGAAAACTCATTACATGAGTCGGTTCATCAGCTCTACAATGCTGGGCCTTCCTAAGGAGAAAAATCAAGCGGTCCTTCCTAAAACACCTACAGTCCTACTTCTTTGGTCCTAACCATAAGCTCTGGTGGCTTTTACAAGTGAGTCTGCAACTGCAAAATGGACACTCATTGGGAAAACATGGGATGGTTGCAAAGCATTAACCCCCCATCTCACATCAGTCTCCATCTACCCCAGGGGATGGTAGTTTTGAGGGCATGTTTTTTGGGAGCACACGTTGACATGATCTTTGTATAACAGCTTCTCCTGCTGCATTCAGGGTTTGGATGCCATTTGTAGTGTTGTGGGTGAAGACCTGCCCTAAAAATGGAGCACACCATCAAAATGCACCCTTCTTCCTGCACCAGTGTGAAACTCAGGACAGCTCAAGGGAAAACACGTTTGTCCTGGGGAACTTAAGTCCTTCATGCTTGCAGAAGACCATCTGAAGATGGTGTTTTCTGTGCCTGCTGGGAAGAGATGGGCAAGACTCGGGATTCCAGCTCTTTGGCTCCACTGGCTGGGAGTTGGGAAGCTGGGACTCGCACCGAGAACTCAGCGGATAGAGCCCTGTGTTCATGCAAGCAAGGACATCAACTCACAAGTCCTCCTGGCCAGCAAAAGGAACTGGCTTTTGTCCACAGGGTCAATGCAAAGACCAGTTGGCACCCCTGCAATAAGCACTTTCCCAGAGCACCCGCAGCCTGTGCTGTATGGAGAAGGTGGGAGTAAGGAATGGTGGAGGGGTGACGAAGGGAAGGAAAGGAGCCACTCCTTGGTAGCTGTTATTATCAAGGAATTACTGGTTTTAAATAAATAGACCTTTTGGAAAGGCGATGAAGCAACTGAGGGAATAAAGTAAAAACCTGAGTTGCTGATAAATAAACCCAACCCAATGTGCTAGCCATAAGGTGAGGGATAAACTGACCCAGCCCTAGCAGTCTTCTGTTAATCACTTTGATGCTCAGTGTCATAACTACCGCCAAGCAAAACATAAGAAACACCCTTTCCCCCCATTTTGATCAGCACCTTGGGCTGCATTTCAATTGCCCCCCATGTATTGCCTAAGGCAACTCTCCCGCTCAACAGGCGCCTTCCACAGCACACTGTGAAATGATAACTGCCATGAAGATGGATTCAAACCCCTTGAGACCAGGCGGCGGTCACCACCAGCACCAGCCAACCCTTGCGCTCGGGGCTGGAGCTCTCCCCCCCTCCTCTCCCCTCCCTCTCACCTGATGGTAGATGGCCTCCCAGTTCTCCCGCAGCGCTCCCCAGCTGCCCACGCTGGCCGCTTTCTTGTCCAGGTACACTCTGATGTGCTCCTCCAGCTCCTGGTTCACCTGCTCGAGCGCTCGCACCTTCTCGATGTACTCCACCAAGCAGCTGTTGAGGCTCTCGTATGAGAGACCCCGGCCCTTCTCCAGCCCCGCGGCCAAGGGCACGGCGGCCGAGGAGCTGCGCAGCCCCTGCAGGAACACGCTGCTGATGCCCAGGGCTCTGCGGGACACGCGGGTGCCCAAGCTGCTCACGCCGCCCGTGGGGACGGTGCCCACGTAGACACCGGGGGGTCTGGACAGGCTCCCCGCACCGCCGATGCTCAGCCGGCGGCCGGGCGGCCCTGAGCTCTCGGTGGCGGAGGCGGAGGGCTGCTGGCCCAGGAAGGACGACCGGCGCCTCGGCAAGGGCATGGTGCTGCTCCGGCCTGGCCCGTGCCGCAGCTCGGCCCGCACTGGTGGGAGGGATGTGCCGAGCCCAGCACGTCGGGGGCTCGCCGGGGGCTTCGGCTTTGTGCGACGGCTTTCTGGAACGAGGGCTTTGTGCTGGGCGGGAGCACCCGACACATTGTGCGTGCGGGCGCTGGGTCAGCAATCCCATTGCAGGCGAAATCTCCCTGCTGCTGCTGCTGCAAATGTGGCCGGTGAAAAGCACAATGGTGTTTACAGGGACAGCGGGGCGAGCATTCAGCACCACACACGTGTTGAAATACCACCGGTGTTTTCTACGCTGACAGCCCGGTGATTTCCTGCCCTTGCACGCACAGGTATCGCGACACACGTTACACGTGCATTGGCCGCTCGCACCCGTGCTTGCTCCAGGCAGTCTCCTGCAGCAAGATGTTACTTGAAGGTGGTAAAACCCAAACGGCTGAGGAGCTGGCAGGGCCACAGCCGAGCAGAGCCGAGCAGCCTTTTGCTGCTGCAGAGCCTCAAATGCCCCCTCGGTCCTGCTGCAGCTTCTGGATTTCTCTGTGCTTTGGCTCCATAGAATCCCAGAATGGTTTGGGTTGGAAGGGACCTTAAAGCTCATCCAGTTCCAACCCCCTGCCACGGGCAGGGACACCTCACACCAGACCAGGTTGCTCCAAGCCCCTGTGTCCAACCTGGCCTTGAACAGGGCCAGGGATGGGGCAGCCACAGCTTCTCTGGGCACCCTGTGCCAGTGCCTCAGCACCCTCACAGGGAAGAACTTCTGCCTTAGATCTAACCTGAACTTCCCCTGTTTCAGTTTGAACCCATCACCCCTTGTCCTGTCCCTACAGTCCCTGATGAAGAGTCCCTCTCCAGCATCCTTGTAGCCCCCTTCAGACACTGGAAGCTGCTCTGAGGTCTCCACGCAGCTTCTCTTCTCCAGGCTGAACAGCCCCAATGTTCTCAGCCTGTCTCCATACGGGAGGTGCTCCAGCCCCTCATCATCCTTGTGACCTCCTCTGGATTTGCTCCAACAGCTCCATGTCCTTCTGATGCTGAGGACACCAGAGCTGCACACAGTGCTGCAAGTGGGGTCTCATGAGAGCAGAGCACCTGATCAAGGCACATTGCCCCAAACCCAGCAGATGTTAACTAGGGACAAGCACCTTCATGTCTGCCCCTTCTCAGTTTAATGTCACATTGTCAGCTGCACTTGGTCTGTTCAAAAAGGGCCCATTTCACTTTGACTGCAAAACGTGGCACCAAGTGAGGCAACTGTGAACTGAAAGAAGGTGGCAGAACAATCCCTGAGACTTATTGCAGGAGATGGGGCAGTTGTGCCCTGCTCAGCTTTTGAAGTCATTGAGCTTTAGTGAGCAGCAACCAAGTAGGCAGTTTCTAAGTACGCAAATAGGATGCGTTCATGGTACAGTGGGATCCTTCACTGTACAGTGTTAGATACGGCTTTTTCTACCTACACCCAGGGAAGCTTCCCAGCCAGGATGCCAGACTTGTTCCAGTGTAGGATTCCCATCGTTGCAGGCATGCCTGCAATGTGCTGATGTCGGACATTGCCCTAATGCGGGGTAGGTTTGGACAGGGGTGGCGGCGAGGCTTTGGCGAGACGGAATGTAATCAGAAATCCCTGTTTTCCGTGGGATCCTAATCCTGGCTCGCCGCATTGGTGCCTGGTGCTTGTTTGACTTGCTTTTTAAGCCTGAGAACTGAGAGACAGCCTAAAGTTGGGTCCCCACTTCCCAGTTGTGTGATGCTTGGGAATAACGCAGCATCTCGCAGCTTGGTGAGCATCTCTGCCTAGCCTCTAGGCATTCTGCAGTTAGACCAAGCAGGCTGGGCTGGCTAAATGAGAGGAATCCTCCAGTGTTTCTTACACGACATCCTCAGTGTATTTGCTTGTGTCAAATAAAAACCAATCATCTGCCTCGCAAAAGCAGCCCCGTGCACAGCAAACAGACCTAAACCTATGGACTCCTAAACAAAGAACTGAATTTAATCCTCTCTATCCTTGTTCTTTCTTCCCACCTCCTTGCTGAAACAGACATGATGGTCCTCAGGGGGCTGCTTTTGCTCTCGGCAAGACTCTGGGGAAGTTTTTACTCTCTTAATCCACCTATGATTTCCAGGAGGCCATTTGGTATTTGATCCTGAGGCTCACAGATACCACACTGCGTTTACTTCACTGTGAAAAGATACATTCCCAAAGTTCCCATCCATGTCCATACACAACCACATCTTCCTGCCTGCCCTGGTCACCTTGCAAGGAAGCAGTGGATTACCCTGATGTGAGCAGAAAACCACATATCTAGGAGGGCTCCTATAGCATTACAGTGTTCTCATTTTAGACACCCTGTGCCCCCCATTCAGATGTCTGCCCTGGCACAGTAGAGCGCACATGTGGGACAGGGAGCAAGGAGGGTGACAAAGGCTCTGTGGCCCCCTTGGTCCCGGGGGGAGCCACGTCTTGGTGTCATTACAGCCATCATGCAGTGAAGTTGCCAGGTTGCTCTGAGTAACTGCAGCCACCGGGACACTGCTGGCAGGTGGGAACATCTGGACCAGATGTGCTGTAGTTCCCCTATCTGGTACCAGCTGTGACTCCCCTTGGACAAGGTGCTTGGTTAACGATGCTACACTGACCCTGACCTCAAAACTTCCCTTCATACAATCCCCAAACAATGGTTTGGGTTGGAAAGGACCTTAAGATCATCCAGTTCCTACCCCTGCCATGGGCAGGGACACCTCACACTTGAGCAGTTATCAGTCAGCGGGTGGTGAGTGGTTGTATTCTCTTCCCTTGTTATTTCCCTTATCATTATTATTACTGGTGGTAGCAGCAGTGGTTTGTGTTATACCTTAGTAACTGGACTGCTCTTATCTCAACCCATGGGAGTTACAATCTTTCCATTCTGCTCCCCATCCCTCCGGGAGCAGGGGGAGGAAGGGGGGGAGTGAGTGAGCGGCTGCATGGTTCTGGGTTGCCAGCTGGGCTTAAACCACGACAACACCTCACACTAGACACTGTCACCCAAGGCTCTGTCCAGGCTGGTCTTGAACACTGCCAGGGATGGGGCAGCCACAGCTTCTCTGGGCACCCTGTGCCAGCGCCTCAGCACCCTCACAGGGAAGAACTTCTGCCTTAGATCTAACCTGAACTTCCCCTGTTGCAGTTTTCTCAGCCAATGTTCTCAGCCTGTCTCCATACAGGAGGTGCTCCAGCCCCTGAGCATCCTTGTGGCCTCCTCTGGACTTGCTCCAGCAGCTCCATGTCCTTCTTATGCTGCAGACACCAGAACTGCACACACCAGGCCAAGTGGAGCAGCTGACTCCAACATGTAGTATGGTTAGGGCATCTGTGCAGGAGAAAAGGTAATTCTTGTCCATGCTCATTGTTCTGGAGCTCAATCTGGACCTTGGCTCCCCTGATTAAGTCTGAAGAAGGCAACATAAAAAAACTCGTGAGGCAACATGACAACCCCAACAGGTTTGCCCATGTCTTGCCTGGCTCTGGATCCTATGGGTGCAGTAGGTTTGCTTGTCATCCCACTTCAGCCCAGCTCTCCTGCTCCCCGTCTGCTGACCCTGGCTGGTTCCTACTGGAAAGAGGATTCTGAAGGGTTTATCCCAGTCAGTGCTCAGGCAGTACTGGAGTCACACAAAGGACACAAGACTGGCACTCAAGCTGTATGGACTTCTTCTGGCAATGGAGCTGGTCCTGTCTGCTTGTGTTCCTAAAGGAAAGGAGTGACCAAAGTCATTTTACAGCAGGAGAAGGGACGGCTGCTGAGCAGGAATGCTCATAGCCAGGCTGAGGGATGTCACGTAGGATGCAGGATGCTGTGCCCAGCACATGCTGCCTGCCCCAAAACCAGCCTTACCCAATCCTCTTCCACACCAAGCATATTGAGCAGCAGGCTGTAAATGACAGTGAAGAAACCAGTCCACCCGAGAGGTGTTTTGCTTAGAAATACCTTTATTTTATAAAGCCACAGTTCTGTAAAGTTTTACCACACTTATAAAAAAGGGGCTGACAATTCTGAGGGAGAAAAGAAAAGCTGAAAACGTTTCTTGTAATTCAGGGTTACACAAAGGCTATATTTATAATATATATATTTATTTATAATCTGGGGACAGTCGAGATGGAACTGCAGTACGGGGGAGCTGGGGGCTCATATTTCAGAGACTTGCTCGTGTCCTACAAACAGTGTCTCTTGGCAGAAGGGGTTCACAAGGACCATCCCGCTGTCACGGTAGTCACCGTTGGCGGGGGAGCGCGGCTCGGAGAGATGGTCCTAGGACAAAGACAGAGAAGCAGGTTGAGCACCTCGCACCTCCGCTGTGAGCACACGGGGCGCTCCGCTGCCCTGTACAGCACGTGTGGGGAATGGGCTGATGTTTTATCATAGAACCATAGAATAGTTATGGTTGGAAAGGACCTTAAGATCATCCAGCTCCAACCCCCTGACACGGGCAGGGACAGCTCACACTAGACCCTGTCACCCAAGGCTCTGTCCAACCTGGCCTTGAACACTGCCAGGGATGGGGCAGCCACAGCTTCTCTGGGCACCCTGTGCCAGCGCCTCAGCACCCTCACAGGGAAGAACTTCTGCCTTAGATCTAACCTGAACTTCCCCTGTTTCAGTTTGAACCCATCACCCCTTGTCCTATCACTACAGTCCCTGATGAAGAGTCCCTCTCCAGCATCCTTGTAGCCCCCTTCAGACACTGGAAGCTGCTCTGAGGTCTCCACGCAGCTTCTCTTCTCCAGGCTGAACAGCCCCAGTGTTCTCAGCCTGTCTTTGTACAGGAGGTGCTCCAGCCCCTGAGCATCCTCGTGGCCCTCCTCAGACAGATGACGTGACCCAGATGACAGCTTTTGAATATGTGAATATACATCATATACATATGTAAATATATCATTTGATTCTTGGTTAGTCTAGACCAACTCCTGCTGTAGCTTGAGCAACATGATTGGGGTTAATGAAGCGGCTGTGAGTGCTTGTTTAATCACATCTCAGAGGTTGCTTTCTAAACGCTTTTGTTTGTCTCTAATGAGATGAGTTGGTAGCTAACTGATCTGAAAAGCTCTTTAGCATAAACCCAAACTCTCCGCTGTTTCTAAGTTTTAAATACCTCTGAACTAAGCTAAATCTTCTCTGTCTCAGAGGCCAGGGATGCATTTCTACCCATAGGATCACCTGCACATGTATGAATAATCCCAGTGAACCAGTCAGATCCCTTAAGTCAAGGCTGATGAGTACACACCCCTATTACACACTCCCGTTGATGTTTCACTTGCTTACATCCTGGCAGCACTCACCAGAACTGGTACTGAAGAAGCTCCTGAGACATAGAAGCATAAAGTTTCTTTGCATTATAAAGTCCCACTACCCCGCTTACCTGATGCTGTGTGGGACACGCACAGCACACAGAGCAGAAGGACCGACTGTCAGGAACAAGCCAGCCCAAAGAACTCTCCTAAACAGTCGTGGTACGGGGCAGACATTGGCCATAGGCTCAAAAGGAAGAGAAACTCAGGAACAAAGTCACCTAGAGGTGATGAACTCCCATGACCACACAGCATTATGGAATACATGTGCAACAGCTGGGAATAGGATGGCAATCTGCTTTTGGTGACATACGTGTGTAGGGGTGAGTCCTTCCCAAAAAGCTGTTTCCCTGAACGTGCACGTACCTCTGAAGTCTCCAGTGACTGGATCTCTCTCGGTAACTCTACAGCGTGCCTGTTGAAGTAGTCCATGGTAATAGCATTGTTCCAATAGCTCAGGTTGTTTTCTGGGTTGGATGTCTTTTTCTTCCTCCTCATGCAGCAGACTGTCAGCAGAACTGCTGTCAATGGAAACATGTCAAAAATGTGGTTATTTCCTTTCAAGAAGGACTCCTCAGTACCATGGATTTGGGTTTTAGGTTACTTAAGGGGAAGGCTGGTGACCTTTGTTCATACCATTCACTCTTGGTCAGATCTAGCTCTCTCCTACCAAACCCCACACAATTACACGAGAATCTGGGCCAAGTGGATGAGACTTTGGGCTTGGCAGAAAGATCAGGTTTTGCTTCCCTTTTGATGTGAGTTTATAATCTCCAAGATGTGGCTGCCTGGCTAAGGGTGGTGTAGCTGATGGCATTTTAATACCTAAGCGGGGATTTATAGACCCTGTAGGACAGAGGTCTCTCCCCAGGGAACGTGAAGGATGCTGCTGTGCACATCTCTTCTGCTTCTAGTGTGTTCAGACACTTCAGCGACGAGCACATTAGCAAATGGGCAGTGAGAGATGTGTCCTAGGCTCAGACACCAAATTAATACATGCAGGTAGTTGCACGTCTTCAACACCAAAAGCCTCTGCACTAAAGTGACACCGATCCCTGCCTCTGGCACCTTCCATTTGTAACCTGGATTTTGGGTACTTTGTGACCATGCTCCAGAACATCAGTGACCAGATGGGCTTCTGAGCGGGATGAGGTGGCATGGAGACACCCTCTGGTACCTGTCACACATAGCTTATGCTTTCAGTGCAGCATTTACCCCAGAGTTGGGGTTTTCCTGCCTGTCTCCATCAGCTCTATCGGGATGTGGGATCTACTGATAAGTGCAATCCATTCCCCACACTTCCCTGGGCAGCAGCAGTTTCTGAGCCTGCCTTTTTCTCTTATCTGTGGAGCACACCGAAGCTCTGGCAGTCTGACATATTCGAGCTCAAAGCAGAGCAGTGAGGGAAGGCGAAGTGGAACCTGCCTGCTCCCCCCTGGTATCTCCTGTGATAACGGGATAACGCTCCCGCAGCGCGCGGTCCGAACACAAAGTGCTGTTTTCTGGAACTTCTTTCTGTTCAGTCATCCCTGCTGCCGTTCAGACGGGTGATCCTGGCACTCTCACAAGCCCACTGTACCAAACTCGCTGCTCCCACTGGTCCTTGCTCAGGCAGAAGCCCAGGCACGTACCCCGCTCTGCTCAGAGGGTTAATGCATCAGCCGCGTGCTTATCTTACACCTGTGGAATGAACCGACCAGTTGTGCTTGCGATCCACCTGATTTACCCAGGGAATGCCCTGCTGTAAATTCACCCCTTTCTTTCTAAGCCCCTGGTGGTAGAAAAGAAGAGATAAAATATTCATGAAGCAGAAAAAGACGTGGTTTTCTCTGCTACAGCCAAAATCATTGATTAGAATGATAGCCCAGAGGCGAGACCAGACTGCAGAGAGGTCAGAGCTGCTCTGTGTGTTTTGACAAACACTGCAGCTCCCCATAAGCCGTGGGTAAAGTGGCAATACAGCAGTGCAAGGCTAGAGCCCTGTTTCAAACCAAATAATGAGCTACTAAGAAAAAAAACCCTGATGGGTTTGAGTTCAGGCAATTTATGTCTCATTCAAAGGGCAAGGTGAGCTGAGGCCATAAATCTTCTCCCGAAACTAATGGAAAAATCCCCCGCACTAGCTCCTGCAGGTCTCACAAAAGCAGGTCATCGTCACACTGACTGTTAGCTTTGACTCATATTGCTTCAGTCTTTCTGTCACCAGTAACTTCATTTGCTGACAGCACGACTCCTGCTGCTGTGCCTGTTAGCAGGCACCCCATGGGGGCCACCAGAACTGCCCATCCTCCTCAAGGGCTGCATCCCTACTTTGCCTCTGCCCTCTCTGTGTCCCACCCTTCCTTAAGATTAGAAAGTGAAGCAAGCCCTACCTTTAGTCCTCCCCACTGCTGGCGAGAGCCAACAGACCTTGGAGCTTTCCAAGTACAGCATCAACAAGTGCTCCCTAAGGCACAGAGCATTTGTGAATGTGCCTGAGGATATGAGAACCCCAGTAAAGCCAACTCGATTGCTGTGCTGAGGTTTTCCAGCTATAAAATGGTGTGGCTGCTGACAGAGAAGCATCAGATTTGGGTTTTAGGGGCTGGAAAGCTGGTGACAGTCAAGAGAGACCCTTCTTCTTCCAGCAGGAAATGGCCTTGCCATGTGCAGATATGGCTGCCCTACAGCAGTAATGCTCTCTCCCTTAATTACACCCTTGGCCTCCAACCTTAGAGCACACACAAGCAAATGGACGGAAACCCACGGCAAATGGGCTCCTGAGATTCCCTGAATAAAACATGTTTTAGCAGAAGGCTGTCTACCAAAGCAAAGCACAGATTTAAGAGGGAGAGAGAGGACAGCAGGGCTGGAATAGGGCTATTTCCATCTTATGTGGACTACCCTTTTGGGGTATAATTTAGTGAAATTAATGTAACTAGCACAGGACTGATCTTTTCCAGAACATTCCTAGGAGCAGGGTACAGCTTTACCAATATTCTCAGAGACCTATGTGCTCCCACAATTAGAATTATGTGTATTACAGCAAAAAACCTCTTCCCAGAGAGGCAGCTGCAATGGGCAGCTAGGCTATATTAAATGGAGGGCAGAGATGGCCTGGGAGGGAGATGGCAACAGCAACAACAACAGAGCTGAAGGGAGAAAGAGTAGCTGCAATACCCTGCTTATCTTTCCTGCTGCGTTATGTGATGGCCTCAAATGGAGGAGAAAGTGCTGCTGCTCAGTGCTGCCATGTATCACCTCTGCTTCAGAGATGGCCAGCCCTCTGGCCAGGAAAAGGACTAGCTCTTCTCTGACTTTCAATCCATGCATTCAGGGGCTGAGCAGCTGACAACTTGCTTCTTTCTGGCCCTACAAGTGCATTATCTGTTGTCCATCCCCTACCCCCTGCACTGGAACAGGACATAACGCATCCCACAAGCAGGAGACATAAGGTTCTCACAGCTTTACAGGTTTTGAGGCTGGTGGGAACATGTTCATGACCCACATCTCCTGCACAACACCTGCACACCAGGAGACACTGCCCTGTTAACCACAAGCTGCATTTAAGGTACGGCACATCTCAAACCCAGCATCATTGAAGGACATGGAGTTTCCAGATATCCATCCCATTCCCACAGTGTTTGTTTGAATGCTCATTTTCCATTGTGGGGCATGTTTACACTCCCCTTGTTGTCTAAATACAGCTTCAACCACCACTTCCTCAATCTCCTTTTGCCTGTTGTATTAAAAGCTTTCCCCGTGTATCAGAAATACCCCTTACATGTGGGCTTTAGCCTCTTCTTGGATTACAGTGTGACACAATTGTGGTTATATTGCATTTCCCAGCTCTTAAACCATTCACAAGGCCCTTTCCTAATCTTCCAATGTTTTAAAAACCAGAATCCACCAGGATTATACCCATGTTTCATACTGGCTTCATAAACGCAGTGTAATCAGATCATACCAACTCCCTACCACTTCCTGATAGTCTCCCCTTTCCTTTCAACTCACTTCAATAGTTTACCAATCTTGCATAGCAGCATACCCCCTTCCCACACAGAACACGACGTTAACAGACCTGAAGGAAATACTCAGACCAGAGGTTGGTAATTTCCTTCTCCTTATGCCTGCAGATCGTAACATTAACTGTGTTGCTACGGCACCCTTGCCTCAATGACTACAATATTGAGGATTCAAGTCCCTTTCAATTTCCTTAACTCACTGTGGCCATCTATAGTTGTATATATAGTATACTACATAGAGAGTATACGTGCATATATATAGTATGTAGTATATACTATATGCTATATAGTATGTGTGTATATATATATATATATAGCTTAACTATGATACAGATGTTAGGGGGGTGGGTTATTGATCACAGCTGCTTCCCTGTGGAGGCAGGAGGCTCTTCTCCAGCTCAGCCTGAGCTCACACCTGAGGATTACACTCAGGCCTTGGGATCCCTCTTGCTTCAGACCAGGAAGCAAGTGATGGAGCTGATACTGGAAAGCATCCCGGTGCATGCAATGTGAGCTAAGTGGGGTTAGGTCCAAGGCAATTCTTCACATACTCTTTGAGTTCTGCTGACGCCAGCGTTCGGGGGCTCAGCCTTCCTCTCGTGTTCTCCCGTGTCAGCAGAACTGCCTGAATGGATTCACTTCTGCGCATCTGATTTGCAAGTCTCTGTTCTCCCACGTTCTATCCTGTCATTCTGTAATTACAGAGACACAAGCACGGGGAGCCCAAGGACCAGAACGGTGGGGTTTTCAAATGAATGCATACTGCGTCTTGCACTTCACTGCAGCACCTCCACACGTACGAATGCATGGGCACAAACATGGTCAAGGCTGCCTGAAGGACACCGCAAACCCAACCCCAACTGTGACACGCCACAAATGCTGCTATCAGTGCTATACAGGACTTTGCTTTTCCAGGAATGCAGTGATACAGAACCCTTCATTTTTTGCAACCCTCAAATGGCACAGGTAACATTACCCCTGCTATTTATACCAGGAGAGTGAGGTACCAAAAGGTGAAACAATTTCCCCAGGTTCACGTAGCAGACATGGCCCACACATTCCTATTGGAAGAATTACTTTTCTAGCTAGCATTTTAAGGGATTTCAGTGGGACTCAGAACCCTATGCGTCCTTAAAGAAACATGTACTGTAAGGACAGGGAGGCTAAATCCCATCTCTTATTTAAACAGGTGAACTCCTGAGGCCCACATCTTCAGGCTAGTGCTTATAATCACTGAGCGGTGCCACCAGCATGGTGGGAAGGAGCTGCCAGTCCTCAGTGGGGCTCAGATGCCGGGGCACAGCAATGCTGTGCAAACCCTCTGCTGCTGCCTGCTCTTAGGTGCACAACGAGGAGCCCTCGCAGGGTCCTTCCTGCCAGGAAAGATGGAAAAAGCACATGAGGAGAAGCACAGCATCCCAGGCACTTCTTCCAGAGAGCTCCTGTGGCCACGCTCTAGCAGGTCACTTCCCCTGCTATGGAAGCTAAAATGGCCACAGGTTTTCACTTAGCAAGTGCTTGTCAATAGAAGGTATCACAGCAAGGGGTCCACGTGTCGGAGCAGGACGGACGCGTCCCTGCAGCGCCATGCTGAGCCTTCCCTTCCAAGGATTTCGGGCAGCACAAGCTGTCCCCACAAGCCCCCTGATAAGAAAGGCTTCTCCAGCCTCCCCCCCACCCCTCATGCAGGGCAGGGATGTGGAGAAAGGCATCCCTGCTCTGGCCACTGCGCAGCTCTGCGAGGCAACAGCCAGTTAATCAGGCTCCTGCATCTCTGCATCTCTTCGTAGGCTTTGGTTGCATCTCCTCACCTCCCTCCGCTTCTATCCAAGGTGTGCTGCCAACCTCCCCGCCTGGGGAGCCAGGCTCAGATATTTAAGAGCATGGAGCCGAGGCTCGATACCCGAGATCCCTGCACATTCCAGCATCCCAAGCCTAGAGCAGGACAGCGCTTTCTCAGCACAAGCCCGCAGGCTGCGAGAGCCTCTCACCGGAAACGTTTTCACCCCTTGAAGAGGAAATGAGATCCCAGTGTTCTGTGGTCTTCAGACATCTCTCGGCATCAAGCCCCTCTACACCAGAAGTGACAGTGCCAGCGTGGGGCCGCCTGTCCTCCGCTGCAGGCGCTTGTGCCCGGGAGGTGGCGACAGTCCCCTTCAGATGTCCCGCACCGTGCACCCACACACGGTACGACGCACACCCCACACCGCGCAGTGTACACGGTACACCCCACACCGCGCAGTGTACACGGTACACCCCACACCATACACGGTTGTCCTGGGCTCAGCAGTAGCAGCCGTTTTTCTCCTTCGTCGTAGCTGGTGCTGTACAACGTACACCCAATGCTGTACACTGTACACCGTACACCCCATACCATACACTGTACAATGTACACACCTTATTGTATGGTGTGCACTGTACAGCGTATACCCCATGCCGTATGGTGTACCCTGCACAACCTACACCCAATACCATACACTGCACACTCTACACCATACACCCCATACAGTGTACAATATACAACATACACCCCATACCGTCCTGCACACTCCATACGTACAGTGTACAACATACATCCAATACCATACACTGTATACTGTACAATGTACACCCCATACCGTACCATGTACCCTGCACACCCATGCCTGAAGATACACAGATGCCTGAGGGTCAGGAAATAAAGTGCTCCTCAGGTGTACAGCACAGAGGGGAGCCGTGACAGACACGTGTGCCCCTGGGTAAAAGCAGTCCTGGTATTACAACTTGCTTTTGTTCTCTCTAGGAATAACCACTGACTGTACAACAGCACTCAGCACGGCACAGGTGAAACAGCACAACTTTTGGATGAGGCATTTCAAGCAGATCCCAAAAATGCCCATTTAAATGCCTGCCTACCATTCATTTCCACTCTGAAATACGGCTGAGGACTGTAAAAGGAGAGTCTTGCTAAAGAGCATCCTCGGATATCTGGTCCTGAGACCAGGACTTCAATACAGGAATAATGTAAATGCTCAGTTGTATTAGAGCTGCTAGAGATCATATTCCAAATAACTTTCACCCTGCTTACAAAGCACAGCTTACAACTACAAGAACAAGCACATTCTGTTACAGCACATAAGAGTTTAAACACTACTTAACAAGTGGCTTAGAAGCCCTGCCAACAGACTCTTCATATTGTTGTTATTATTAACAATAACAACAATAATAATTACTAGCATTACTTATTAGCTCATATATGGCACACTTCAGGCAGAGATGTACATCAGTTTACAAACTGCTTATGCTTCCTGTGCTTGTGTTCTATCATATTAGATTGTGTTTTGTATTTAATAATAGAATCACAGAATGGTTTGGGTTAGAAAGGACCTTAAGATCATCCAGTTCCAAGCCCCTGCTATGGGCAGGGACACCTCACACTAGAGCAGGCTGCTCCAAGCCCCTGTGTCCAACCTGGCCTTGAACACTGCCAGGGATGGGGCAGCCACAGCTTCTCTGGGCACCCTGTGCCAGTGCCTCAGCATCCTCACAGGGAAGAACTTCTGCCTTAGATCTAACCTGAACTTCCCCTGTTTCAGTTTGAACCCATCACCCCTTGTCCTGTCCCTACAGTCCCTGATGAAGAGCCCCTCTCCAGCATCCTTGTAGCCCCCTTCAGACACTGGAAGCTGCTCTGAGGTCTCCATGCAGCTTCTCTTCTCCAGGCTGAACAGCCCCAATGTTCTCAGCCTGTCTTTGTACAGGAGGTGCTCCAGTCCCTGCACATCCTCATGGCCTCCTCTGGACTTGCTCCAACAGCTCCATGCCCTTCTTATGTTGGGGACACCAGAAATGCACACAGTGCTTTGAATGCTTTCTCTCTAGATCAGTTTGCTTTCTAAATATTGGCCCAAACAATAATGCTTGGGAGAATTTATTTGATCCTCTATTTCCTCATTGATAGACAAAGCACTGCTCAGCAAATCAAATAGTGCTGCTTCTCACCATGTGCTTGCTATATCCCAGGTTCTCCTCCCCATCTGCTGCAGAAGCGTGCTTTCACACTTCTGCTTTGGTGTCTCTTTGATTGTCCATCTTTTAGATTAAAGCTTTGCTCTCACTCATGTGTTTAACCACAACTGGAATAGCAGAACTGATGGTTCCAGAGGCACAAGTCTAACAGATAGTGCTGAGCCAACCCAATAGACTGGAAAGGATTAGTGCAGCTCCCTCTCCAGGTGTGTATTCCTGCAGCCTCATGGCTCTAGGTCTGAGCCTGATTCAGCTCCCTGGGTGGACAGAAAGTACCAAAGAGCAAAATGAATAGGGTTTAGCAATCTGAAAGTGTCTCAGGGAGGTGGTAGGGCAGGCCCAGGCAGAAGGAGAGGGGCAGGATCAGGAGGCTGTGCCTCAGGGAGGACAGGAGACAGCAGCAGGGGTAAGCTGTGTGTGCAGGACTGGCTCGGTCAGCTCCCCTTGCTGATGTCCTCAGTACAGCCCGGAGCCGTACGTAACAGAATTAATACTCAGTATTGGTGGCTGCTCCTCTTTTATGTTTCCTCAGGCAGCAAAGGCTGGGTAATGTTGGCTCTTGTTCCACTCCAGACAGATCAGCATTATCACACCCCGCACCAGTGAAACCCCAGAGAATACACTGCCAGCTTGCCAACATACCCCAGCTAAGCCGGGGACACCCAGCACCCTGCTTTCTCATCATGTCTCCAGTGGGTTTTGTACCTGTGTTGAATGCTGAGACCCTAAAGCCAGCTCTGGGAACCCAACCTGCCCTGCTCTCGCAGGTGCCCAAAGACCAGGATTTCAAACTCTTCCTGCTCTCTGGAATTCAAATGGAGGAAGCCAGCACTTTGGGTGCCATTCTTTAAAACCTGATAGTTCATGAACTGCCTGCAATGAAATATTGCCCTGGAAAACCGGTGTTTCCTCAGGGATCAGTCATTGCAACTGGCATTAATCCTCTGGGTTAGCACTGGGCTTTTTAAATCCAATTCCAGGGCAGTATATAGCAGTTCCTAGATTAAAGACTGGTACGACCTTTTGGTCACCAGCTTATATGCTTTGAAGTAAAGCTGCTTCACCTTCTGGAGTTGTTCAGCCTCGTGTTATACCCACAAAGGCCCAAAATGACTGATTTCTAATAGCAACAAAGCAAGTATGCTTTGAGTGTAAACATTTCAGCTCTGCATTTTGAAGCACTTTGGTCAGCGAATGCGATCTCGTATCTAGCGATTGCTCCTCGTCCATCTCAAGCCACCCTCCTCTGTTAGCTCACCACCTCCTCCTTGAAACACGGGCTGAAATCTGAATTTTATGGAAAGAGAAAGCAGAACAAAGCAGCAGTTAACTTACAACATGAGGATATAGGTACGCTGATAGCCAGAATGATCCAGGCAATGTCCATCTTGCTGAGACAGATGGTTGCCCTGTGCTGGGGCTTGTCCCCCTCGGTGACGTGGGAGATGTTTCCTTGCACTCCAGGTTTCCAGGTCCCGGCAGGAACCAGTCTGTTTAGGAAGTTCCCAGTGGCAGTGGAGCCAGCGGTGGAAACGGAGCTGGACAACCTGGTGGCAGGAGCTGCGGACAGAGCAGTGCTTAGCAAGGTCACGTTGCTCACCGTCCCATGCTGCGTTGGAGAGGGTCCCTTGGGGTCTCCCGCTGCCGCGGAGGAGACACTGACATCAAAACTGGTCTGAACCGAGTGCCCCGCTGCTGCTGTTGCAGATCCAGGGCCAGCAAACAGAGGGACATTGGTACTGAGGTTCAAGGTTACCCAAGAGTTGTTTTTGCTCAGCATATCCCATACGCTGTAGTGGGTGGGTTTAAAAGGCACCGACACTGCTTCAGGATCGGTTGATGGTCCAGCAGTTGTGGTGGCAAAATCTGCCTCCTGCAGCACTAGCTCGGCCCCATCGCCTTGCTCTGCTTCCCTAAGGCTTCCCGAGGGGCTGCGGTGGGGTGAAGGGTCTGAGTGTGTAGTTCTTGCCAGCCCCATGCCATTCGGATCACCGGATGCTGGGGTCTGGGACTGAAAGGGGTGGTCTGTGAAGGGGCTCCTCAGGGTAGGGAAGGGAGAGTGCAGGGTCGTCTTTAGGTAAGGCTCTGAGGACTCTGTGAAGTTGCCTTTGAAAACCTGGAATATTTTCCCCTTGGGGCGAGTCTGTCCCGAGTACAAAGCACTCTGGTTGTGTAAATGATACGTTCCCTTGTCGCCGAGGCGAGGGCTGCTCGCTTGCTTCTGCCCGGTGGAAGGGGCTTTCTCCACCACGTTGATGGAATGGGGCATGGTGTGAGCAGACGTGGGAAGGGGCTCTGCTGCGTGGTGGTCTTTGTGGCGAGGCGTCGTTCCCATGGCTGTGACAGTGGTAGTGTTCATCGGGAAGCCCTGAGAGGAGGAGACAGTGGGAGACAGTACCTGAACAGAAAACACCAGCTCTTCTGTCAGTGCCAAGATCAGTAGAACACCTAGAGGGAGAAGCACAGAGAGAGGGTGAGACCAGGGAGGGACCAGCGGGCAGGGAATGGCAGGGCTTGTGCGTCTGGCAGGAAGGGATACCTTCCATATTCAGAGTTAGCATCCAACTTTGTTGGCTTCTCTGGGAAAGTAGGAAGGGAAAGGAAAATCCATGGTGGCCCCATGGCTGTGGAAGAGGTGAGGTGGGAATGGGAAGGTGGCAGGAAATCTGGAAAAGAGGGAGAGTATGGACTCAGGACAGTGCTTTAAAGTGCCATAGGCATAGACAAAGCATTTAGGGGTAGAAACAAAAGATCTTTTCATCTTTGTTTTGTCCAGGAGGCCTCCAGCTCAATGTCTGCATCACTATGGGGGTCCTTAGTCACTCCTTTGGCTGCAAAACCCTAAATTGGGCTGCCTCCAGTCTTGGATGTCATTAAGCAATCTGGGGTTTGAGAGAGCAGCTGCTTAGCCCTTGCTGAAAATTAGGTCAAGAAGGGATGTCTGATGAGAAGGCTTCCTGGGTTATATACATGCTGCCCTTTACCGAGCAATTTCAGACAATCTAGTCACTTCTTTTGGAGTATGAGACGTGGACAACCTCCAAATGTTAAAAGTGAACAAGAAAACATAAAGAAACAAGAAGAAAATCACAGCCATCTTTAAAAGTCAGGCGACTATGAAGGGATTGACTCAAATCTAACACGACTGCCCTTTGTACCCATGTGCAAATGGTGGTACCCTGCTCTGTGCTCACATGTGCTGTGGAACTGGATTGCATGAAATTTGTCTCCTGCCACTCTCTGCAGTGCACATATCTCATGAAGTACCAGATTCACCCCACCGGGAACATCAATTCTTCCTTTTATCCCTACTCCGGATAACAGACATGGGCAGCTGCAGTAGCATAAGCCTCCCCGGGATGAAGGGCTAATACACCGTGAGTTAGTGTGACATGCAGTGACCACATCGATCACAAGTCACCATTTCCATATGTTGGAGCTGTCGAGTGTAATGTGGAACTTTGCCCACTAGGAAGCACACGGAATAAATCCATTCTGCACAGTCCACTGAGCATCGTCAGATGGCACCATCAGCACTGCACTAGTGTGGATTTCAGTGTCAGGGTGAAAAATGTTGCCACGGTCTTAATAAATCAGGGACACGAGTTCATCAAAGCTGCAGGACTCCAAACCTTCCAGCCAAGACTGTGGAGAACCTTCCTGCCCCTTTCTCCACCCTTCCCAGGTGTGCCAGCTTCCCCCATGAGCATTGTTAGGCCATTTGGTTCTACCCTACTTGGGAAGAATACCTGTTATGGGCACCAGCAGAAAAGGAAGGCAGGGGCTTGAGACAATAAAAGATCTCTGACTAGGTGTCCAGTGGGCCCTAGGGCTCTGTGTTGCACGTTGGGCAGATGCAGATGCCATGAAATGTGTTTATTCTGAATCCTGTGCACCATTCACACCCATCCACGTGCAGCAAAGCTGACAAAGGAGCAGTACCTACACCTCCAACCCAGCTAAATCCTCTACTTCGATCACTAGCTTTGATTTCTGAACCAGAACAGCACAGAATTCTTCAACCAACAAAATTCACCTTATCTCTCCCCCCACCCCCCCCAGCCTCCTGTTGAATTCACAGCATCCAGAAAATGAAACCATTGACTGGGTAACATAGTGAAAGACAATCACAAGCAATGTACTTGTAATGTGATGTACTTGTAATGCGTGTGTTACTAATGAGTGTGTTACTAATGTGTGTGCTACTGATGCTAAAATTAGCTTTTTGATTTATTTATTCCTGAAATAAAGATCTAGGCCAAATAAACCATCGCCTGTGATCCTGCTTCCCAGGTCCCAGCCAGCTGCAGACAACATGCTCTTAGCGGAACACCTCATCTAAAGGAAGACCATATTCCATGCACTGAGATGCAACCAGGAGAGCAGACCGTGCTGTATTCATGGAGCATCACTCTTGGAAGTGAAAAGGAGAACCATACCTGCACATTTGTGGTACTGCTTATTCTGAGGTCAAGGTCAAAGAAGATATTCTAGTGTCCATATGGCTAAGACTTCGTGCCAAGACAAGTTGCTGCCACAGAACAAATTCAAAGAGGAAAGGATGATGATGTATTTGGGGTATGGTGTGTGGAGATAATGGCTCAGGAAACTTCAGCCCTGCTGTTCTGAGCACACAAGAGAAAGTGCATTGGCAGACCTTAGGAGACACTAAATCGGAATGATTATAATGCCTGCTAAGATTTGGGGATGTTCTTTGTGTAACTACTTGCTCTCACACCTCATGCAGAAAAACATCTCTACTGGGTTAATACTTTTCTTCAGGATCTTCCTCAAGGAATGAGGAAGTTGACAGCTCTTCTGCATATTGGGCCCTGGGGTTAGAAACCCTGCTCTTTGGCTGAACACTCACCCAACATCCACCTCCACTGCTTGCAAAACTGATAAATCAGAAGCTCGCTGCTACAAAGATTTATGATCTCCCTGGGGCAGCCTGTTGTTGTGCAGGTCACCACATACCAGGCATGGGAAGCCAGATGCATTTAGCTAATACCTGTAGGTGGCTTGTAAAGTCTAATTATTCAAAGGAAATACAACATCAGAAGTAATTTATCTGACAATAAACAATGACCCTCAAGACATTTGGCTGTCTCAGGTGGTGGCAGTCACAGTGTGCTTGTCCACTAGGCTCCTTTTAACAGCTTCTGCAGAGCCAGTGTGGCCCATAAGCTACTTAGGACTTTGGTTTACTGTTTGAATGGACCACAGGACTCCTTCAGTGTCAACCAGAGCTAATCTGTGCCCCTAACTACTCAAAACCTGTTCAGTTTAGTAGATCATTGTGAAAATAGCCAGTGCTATATATATATAGGGAGAACCAGATAATAATAAGGACTTCACAGTGGCCTTTCAAGTAGAATTAATTTGCTTTCTAATTGGTCAACAGCCAACTGGAAAGCAGAAGTAAAGCTGGAATTGGCATTTCCAGATGCTCTGCATCACTACCTAAGCATGCTCTGGCTGGATGTGCAGTGACCTGATCGCCCAGAGCTCCCAGTTACTTTTGTAACACTTGAGGATATGCAATGTCTTACAAAGTAGGACTCATATTGAGGTTCTTGATATTACACTGCCCTGTTTGTCAATTCTGCCTTAAGCCTAGGGAAATGGTATTCTAAATTCCTCCACTAAGTTGCAGGAGGCGTTTATAACAGAAATGGACTTATCCAAACCCTTCCATTTTCCTTCCTTCCCAACCTTTATCTCTGCTTTGCACCCAGAAAAGGGCCATGGTGGGTATGACGCCAACTGTCCCCCAGTGGCTCAGCTCACCCTCAATCAGGCTACCACTGGAATGAAACCTGGTTGCTATCAAGTTGTCATGGCCAAAGTTTGGATATCCCAGCTGAGGTGGTACCCAGCAGATGCCTTTGGTCTGTTCAAAGCACAGTCCAGCAGCTCTTTGCCAAAATCCTTCAGTTTTGGCTGCCTAAGACTGTTAGGACTGATCTTATGTAGAGCATAAGCCCTTGGGGTTAAGGACTCACAGTCCTTACTATCTGCTGGCATAATGGTAACACAGACTGATGCAAGCACATTATAGCAAATAATAGTAATTAATTATATTTGCAAAGGTCAGTTCACACCATTAAGTTTTTTCACAAGGGGCCATTTCTAAGGCATAGGAGCTCAGGCTCAGAAGGGGTCAAACTGGTTTGGCTTCTTAATGCTGTGTGTCAAATTCCCACTTTTGGTGTCTCATTTTATGGCCCCGTTAAAACCATTCAACCCTAATGAGAAGGCCGATTGACCTGACACCCCTGCAGTGTGAATGGTGTCATCCCCTGGTTTTGCATAGCGCACCAAGAAGGGAATTAACACAGAATGAATTAACTCAAGGATGAAGCCCAGCACAGTGACGAGTACACAGAAGATGCTGATGTGCATTTAGCCATAAAGCCTCCTTCCTAACAACATGGTGCGATCTCAGCAGCGTCTCCCTACAGTGCTTCTTCCCATCATACACTCACATGAGGAGCCCAGAAATGGAGTGGACGTGAAGAAAGTGAAGGAGTTCCTATCCAGCAATGTTTCCAAGTACTGCTCGATGTCCTCAGTGAGTCTCAGGGAAGTTGGGGTTAGGAATACTTTGCTTTCCCACCCAGGCTGCAGGGTCCTAACATTTGGGAACTGCCTCGCAGCCCTTTTATTTGCATGCAGGAGGCAGAACTGCCTCCCTCCGGACCAGAAAGCCAAAGCAATTCTGGTCCCAGCAGCTGACATCCTTTGACTGTTTTATCTCAGGAGCTCAGAAGCCCCTGCTAGAAGACAGTGTCCTGGCACAGAACAATATGAAAAGGCTTCATTTAGGAGCTAACACTGCTGGTGCTGCACGGGATGCTTCATGGGCACTTTTGGGAGCAGCCTTTTTTGCACGACATGGCAGAGTCAGCTCATGTGTTCAGCCTCCCCGAGGCACCCCCTTTAAATGACACAAACTTTGGATTTACAACCGAGTGCTGATCTGAAGCCTATGGAAAGGTTCCCAATGACTTTAGCAGGCTTTGGACCAAGTCCTGACCGCCAGAGGTACAGTGGAAACTTCTGTGCTGCACATTCATGTTTTCTACAGCAAATGAACGCGCTCAGTCTGGTGTTTGACCCCTTTTGGCCTCTGCTGCCTCAGACCTTGCAGCAGGACAAACAGAGCCAAACAGTTTTGCTTTAGGTAGTCAGGAAGAGCTTTTTGTTCGGAGCCCTACTGCTGGACTCATTATTTCAGGCTGCCGTGGGCAGGAGAAGCAAAGGGAGCTTTCCTACAAAGGACCATTATCTCCAGACCCAAGGCTTGGGGGCACACGGGCAGTGCAGGGGATGCTGAAGTCGCTTCCAACACTCGTGACTTACTAACAGTGAGAGAAGGCTGTGCAAAACCTGTTCAAAGCAACAGCAATGTTATTGTTGTGCTGAAAGCTTCCTTCACAACGCTATTAACTTCTCACGTGCCTCTCGGCAAACCTCAAACGTTACAAGGAGTAAAATGAATCTTTAATAGATGGAAACTGTGCAGAAAGTGCAGATCACTCCTCTCGTTACGGTCATTTTGGTTACGGTTTCTTTGTCATCTGTCAGAGCAATATGATTTTCATTCACAATAAAGCAGCCCTTGTACAAACAAAGAGTTAAGCAAATTTCACCCATGATTGGTGGCAGAACTGAGGGAAGAAAAAGTAGGTTACTCAGCATAGAAAATTTCTCTTCCTTGCCCATCTCTCAGTGGCTGTTACACCAGAACTCCCAGGTATTAATTTACAAGTTACTGCCTGCTTTCCTCTGTAAGTACTGGGTTGATTAACGCCGACTTCAATACACGAGGCATTGCAGGGCATTAGACACAGACTAACAGCTCTATTTGCAGTAACACAAGCCAGCATCAGCAGAAGCTCTGGAAATCACATGTACAAACACAAATTAAGCAGCACTCACTGACATTCCCTGTGCAACAACAGTAACGGCGGCTCCAGGTCTCATGGGGCAAGACTTCCCGGCCCTTTAACCACATAAACCCAGTGCAGAACACCAGCACTTCCTCTAAGGTGCACTTCCATCACGGACTTCAAGAGAGTGAGCCTATAAACCAAAATCCATTTCTCCAGGGAGTTAAACAATGGGTGATACAAATAGGACAGTATCGCGTAGTCGCAGAGCAGGCAGCTCCCAGTTCATTCTCATACTGCACTAGAGACTCACAGATCCTACAGGAATGCTTCAGATCCCCTGTTCAGCTAAGTATACACAGACATCCGAGCTGCTGAACCTTGTGAAAAGGCTTGCTGACAATCTAGGGCAACAGTAATGACTGAGAGGAGGGTAATAAGAAGAAAGAGCCTGACTCTAGCTACTTGCTTAAGGTAATCACTCACCTGGAAATATCATTTGGGCTTGTCAGCAGACATCCTCACCTGCTCACATCACACGGACTGGGAAGCTTCATCCCTCAGCAGAGAAAGGCAAAACACATCTTCTCTCTAACGAGGCAGCTGCAGCAGGAGTTGCTGTTATTGTTGGAACTGGTTTGGAGGAATGAGGGCAGAGACAGCCCAGGCAGGCGTGTCTTGCAGGGCTGTGCAGCGACAGGGCTCGCTCCTTTATGGACTACCTTTGCCACTGCAGGGCAGGATTACTTAAGGAGCCAGACCCCCTCTCTGCCAGCAGATCCACGGGCTGCTTGGTATTCCAGCTTGGTTTCCCATCAAGTCCAGATACAGTTTGTCTGACACGGGTCTATTCAGATGCCAGAGGATTGCTGGCAGTGCTCCTTCCCTGGGAACAAAACAGCCACAAGCACCCCAGCTGCACGCCCTTGGGAAGCTGCTCAGTCCCCATTCCAAGGCAGCGTGCCCTCCCTCCAGCTTGTTGTGTGTGGATGGCTTTTACACATCTACCTCCTGCTTCTGTGCCTCCACCAGACTTTCCACTTCATTCAATTACCTCTAATGATATTAATATTCCTGTCAGAGGGAAATACAGGGAACGAAATCAGAGGCTCATCTCTCCTCTGGCATCGAAATGCATGGTCTGGTTTTGATTTCTTCACTCCTCAGTGGTGAACTGGCCATAAAGATGCTCACAGATCCCGTGATTCTTAAAGCCATAATCCTGCCTCTCTTCTTCCATTTCTTCTTTTTTTCCCCTGTCTCTCTGGCACAGCTGGGTGTCTGGAAGAACACGCTGCCTGGCGAGCACACAAACGTGCCCTGTGCAGCCAACTACCCATCCCTCAAAAGGGAAACGGTGCGAGAGCAACAAGTTAGGGGCTTCTTGAGAGTGGTGTGGGGATCCCCTGGGAGTCCCAGGGCATTCCCCATCACTCGGGCTTTGATTCAGAGCCCCTGCAGCAGCCCGAGCAGTTTGTTACATGGGCTCCCCACAAAATTCAATCCTAGTATTTTGCTAGAGAGAAAAGCCAGTTCCTTCTTCACTCTGCTCCCACCAGCTGAGAAGATCCTTCTGTTTTCAGGTCTTGATACAAGCATGTTGCAACCAGACTTCTTTGTTGACGCTGTGGCTGAATCAGACAGGAATGATGCTGTGACAACAGGTTTGAGTTTGGCAGCACGTGCAGCTATGGGGCCTCCAACAGTGACCCCAGTGCTGACTGAAGTCCCTAACGGGAAGGCTAGGCAGGTGTATACGTATATCACAAGCATATCTTACCCTTAGTTATACGAACTCTGTTTTCACAGCCACAGTCATTGCATGAAGGATATGGGAAGACAAAGTACAAATTATAATGATCTGAGATCTGCTTTGCATTCTTGTGTTCTCCTGCTGATGGTTCTTTTCTCCTTCCCATCTGCAGCTCACTTTTCCCCCTTGCTGTTTCCAGTCTGAAGGTTTTTCTAAATAAAGATATTTAGTGCATTATAAACTAAATGGTCCTTACAAATATCAGCTTGTTTAGCAGTTTCTGGAGCTCAAGGCTGATGAAGAGCTTGCTGCTGAAACAATGATTTAGCACAGAGCTGCAGCTGGCATAACAAGAGAACCATGCCACGTATTTAACCTTTGCTGGAGGATTTGCCACATCTGTAAGTAGTAACTCACACAGATTTCTTCCCCGTGTGCTGTCATGGATGGAAATATGGCTCAAAACTGCAGAAACCATCGTTTGGGATTTCAGATGAAAAGCCTTCTGAATGACAGAGGTTCTGTGCATTCCCTTGTCCAAAAACACATGGAACAAACCAAAGACCCTTTTAAAAGCATGTGAGTATTCCTTGGTCTGACAGCTCCCCCCTCACACAAAGCTTGTCCAGCCCCAGCTTTGCAAATGCACATCCCTTCCTTTCCAGCCTTTACTTGGCAGCAGTTTTTGTTGGCAGGATGCTGTTGCCAAGGGAGACAGAAAGGATGTGCAGCTGGCTTTTCTTTCACCTGCACTTACTGCTGCTGATCCTATTTATGCTACTGCAGAACCTCTGGCTTCTAAGAGACCTCCTGTCAATGTCACCGGACCTTCTGAAGAGTTTCAACAATGACACAAATAGCTGTGGCCTCTGATAGAAAGCTAAAATAGGATCTCACCAAAGAGAGGATGCAGTTGGTGTCACAGATGCTGACTTAAGCAAGGGTATCCATTTAATGAGCAACAATAAGAAGGGGGAAAGGAGGATTCAGAGCCATCTTCAAAAGGTTTCTGACAACTCCCCAGTGAGAGCAGTGAGTAACTTCAGATATATGGAAGTTACATGCTTAGCCTAAGGTAGCTGTGGCTCTGGCAGGCAGTTCACCCCATCCACACACTGACTAGTACCCCAGAGAGGCTCCTCTCTTGCCATTAGCAAGAGGTCACATAGAGGATGATGAGCTTTAACCAGATGTCCAGCTTTCAGGTGATGAGAATTAGGTGAGATGAATCCCACCTCGTATCCCTCCATCTGTTTACGTGGCATCATCATAAAGCAGAGCGAGGATTTGTTTAGTTCATACAAGGGATAACTAAAAGTGATGTTTGGAAAGGTGAAATGTAGTCTTTCTATTGCAGTACCTTCCAGGAGAGGAAATGCCACTGCTTTGGCCATTCAGAACCAGTTTCTCCTGAGCACCACGCAACAAACCTTATAGAGCAACACTTCATTGACATGAAGAGTGAACTACAGCAAGACAGCCCTTCCATGGTAACACATTAGGAAGCATTTTTCTTTCCCATATTAGAGGGTAAATGGGCAAGCACTAATTCAGATGAAGCAAGGAGCTGCTGTCTCTCAATTAAACAGCATGCAAGGCAAGATGTCTGGGGCCTGGAAGGTAGCACAAGGAAGCAGGAGCCACTGCTTCATGCACAAGCCTTTTCCAAACAACCACAGCTCCTGGACCTGCTGCACTCCTTTCAAAATCCCAGCTGGAGGCAAACAAGTCAGAGGCTTTTGATTCCAGAACCATATTATGCATCTTTTCCAAACCTACCCTCCAGCTTTAATTTACACTGACTTACCCATCAATCAGGACACTTATTCGAGACCCAGGATGCTCTTTCATTACAGCACAGGCATTTTTAGCTTGCCTTTTCTAAGGAAACATTTGTAGGGACAGGTTGTCTATCCCTCTGCCCATCTTTGACCCATGGCTAATTGCAAATACTGCAACACACTGTATGATGACTGCCAGGAGGCAGAGCAGAGCAGAGCACCCTACTCATGGATCCCTCTGCTGCAACGATTCAGGCCTTTTTCGTTCCTCTATTTGCAAAAGCTGTGCTTAAATACTCCAGCTGCAGATGCAGAGATGTTGATGCTACAGCCAGAAGGGATGTTACAGCAAGGCAGAGGCTGACTAACTTCTACAAACCCTGAAGGTATTGCACTCATTTCATCTGCTCACTGAAAGTAATTTGGATGATGTATTACTTATGCCTCCTTCACGCACATTATTACCTCCAAGTGCCTGGTTACCCTTATGCTTGATCTCCAATGAGAGCTTGTAATGAAGAGCTTGCACCGATTTGTTATGTGAGCAGGTAACACGTAATTAGAAAGTAACCATTATATTTACCTGCAGGAAGGCTTTACTCTGAGGTTTGGACCAGTTGAAGCAAAAGGGACACTGGGCCTCAGAGTGAGCAAATGCTGGGGACTTATGTAGTTATTCACGGCCTCAGTTTATCATCTGGGCAAGTAAGAACCAAACCAGGTCAGGATGCAGGGAGTCAGCATTTCCAGTACGGGGGACCGGCTCTGTGGGTACAAAGGGTCATTGGAATAGGGATAATCCCCAAGGTGGACTTGGGCTATAAAAGGCAGTGAGAGTTTCCATGTCCAGATTTTCTCCTGTGAGCACAGCCTGAGGATATAAGGCTATGTATAAACCAGCTGGAAAGGCTGTAATGTGCTGCTTTTATTATCTGCTGGATTATACAGGGCTAGCAAAGCCTCTGGAGTGGATGTCACGTTGCTAAGGAAAGAAGTGAGCTGTTACTTTTCATTTCTGTTCGTTCTTCTATAGACTAGAGACAGCTCTCGTTTGGCTTCTGGAACAAAAGCTTGTATTGCCCCTTAGCTGTCCTGAGTTGAACCTAGTTTCAACTAAAGCTGATTTCAGAATAACCTGGATGCTCACCATGGCCCAGCTGCACTGAGCCACATGGGTGCTCCATGAGGTCTGCTGATGGCCCGAGGGGGTCAGAAACTGGAGGTACATGCTTGAAGCTCAGGTGGGTCAGGGGTGCAGGTTGCATTATGACATACCAAGATAAAAGGGAAAGAAGTATCAGCTGCTCACTGCAGAGATAAAGAAAGGGGGGTTTGCTCCATTAGACTGAGATACAGATTTTTTGCCATCCTTTGAAAGCTGGGTATTGGTCTGGAAGGAACAATGGTCCAACCTGGTGTTGTAAATCAAACGTTCCTATAAGTAAGGTCACAGCAGTAGCTGGATATAATTTCTGCTAATGGAAGCAGGACTCTGCTGCTTATATTTCGCTCCGTGTAACTGCTCCTGCACTAGGTTCATGAGATGGAGATATGCAATATCATACGCAAAACCCATAAGGATGAGATGGCATGGGGCTACAGCATTACCTGATGAGTCAGGGGGATCAGTAATTCACGTGGAAAGACATACGAAGTCAGGAAGAGGATCTCACTTTATAAAAATATGCCCTGCCAACTCTGCAGTTCACTCCTGCAACTCGTATTTCCTATTCAGCATGCGTGTAGTTCACAGCAAAGTAAAACGTTTCACATTTCCATCTGGATAGTCTCTTTGTGTGTGCTGCTTCAGAGTGTCATTTCAAACACGTGTTTGTCCTTTATTTTCCTAGGCCTGTCTTTTCATATGAAACTACTGCGGATCTGAAATCTCATTTACATTCAATGGTTTAAGTGTTCACAGTGGACTCAGGTCATCAATTTCACCTTGCCTTAAACATGAAAGGCTAGCACTGATATATGCTCTTCTCTGCACCATTAACATAGAATCACTGTTTGGAATAATAGTAATAATAAGAAGATGCATAACCCCTATTGCAGCATTATTCTCACAAGTTAGATGTTTGTCTCTCCTTTCTGGTTCCACCAGCCTCTAACTACGCAGAAGAGAATCTACTTCACCCATTCCTGACATGTCATCGCCTCCACACTTTAATTCTATTTTGGAAGGAAATTGGACTGACAACCCTAACCGCTTCTGATTATTCACACAACAGCCCTTGTGAAGAGATTGCACGTACCAGCTTTTCCGTGTTGCCCT